CATTTACAACGGCTCGCCGAAAATACAGAAGATTCCTTCATTTCCAACACAAAAAAACTCGAAAATTGCAAAACCAGTTTGTTATTGACCCGGGAAAGAGGCTTAAAAGTCCAAATAACCAGGAAAATATGGGAAAAATGTGAGATTTGTGCGCGATACGGTATGAAAACCGAGGGTAAACAGAGACCGAATGGGGAAGTTATTTCTGAGGCTTCAGATTGTTAAGATTTTGATAGGAAGCGCCAGAGTGGTCCTTCAAGAGGTGACGGGAAAAAACAGCCTATGTATAGGACAAAAAAAAGTTCCATATAGGGGTAAAATTGAGGTGGCCCTGTAGGAATTAAGAGTCTGGCCTACCAGGCCTATAGCTTCGGTGGTCCCTATAGGGCCTTCTAAACATTTGATATATTCTGAAATTGAGTCGATTGCTCGAAATAAATGACTAGCATGCCCCTAGAGTGCCCACTATCTGAAAACCCTCCAGAGACCACTAGTATGCTCCCCTATAGGGACCACATTACTTCTATAGGTATAATTTCGAACTTTTTGTGAAAACGGAAAAAATTCGTTTTATTTCTTCAAGATGATTTTTATACGTGAAAAAAAAAGCTGGAAGAGCTAATTTTGCTTCATTTCGAAATAGATAAACCTTTAATTTTCTTGACCCAAATAGAAGAAGCTTTCTAAATTTTAAACTTTCATGAATTTTTTCCATCGATTTTTCCTTTGAAAATGGTTGTTTGAACACACCATTTTTTCTCCCGTTTCAACTCCTGTACCTTCAATCTTTCTCCTTAATCCAGCGCCGTATGCAAATTTTCTCCTCTCTTCAAAAAAATATGTCCAACTTTTCGCTCAAAATATCACGAAAAAGTGTGTTTCGTCACGTTGAATTGTAACGAAAAACGGTCACGTGGCGGTTCGATTCGAGGGGACTTTTCCCATTTTTGTTTGTTCACATATTCTCTCGGAAAAACGCTTTTTTGAATGGCTTCGAACTTATTGATGGGAATGAGAAAAAAATGGATTGGATGAACAGAAATCATGAAAATAGGAGAACGACTAGGAAAAAACTTGATGGAAAAAAATCGCGACCTCTTTATCAGGACAATGCATTGGAATAAAAACTGTAGCTTTGGGGAAGAGATTAATAAAATTTCTGAAAGCTTATGGCCGCGTTTGGAATGGCTCGACACGTCGTGTCTACTTCGAGCCCATCGAGCCATTCTAAATGCGTCCAAAATTTTCCCAGTACCTAAGATTGAGCGGTATAAAACACATAATAGCCTACTTCAGGTCGTTTTTTTCAAAAGATCTCTGATAAAATGATACTTTTCGGTATTCTTGCGGGTGGAAAATAGCTATTTGAATATCTCGTCAAGATAATTTCAAGAGAGTTTGAGTTTGAAATATTGGCTCAACTCAGCCGTGAATCTTTCTATTGTGGTTAATTTCCCTATTCCTTTCAAATTTCTTGTTTTCGGTTTCTGAAGCTCCCAATACACCCCTCAAAGCACAGAGAAAGGATCGATGGTTAGCGGCTTCTAAAAAGTTGCACCCGACTCTGAAACGACTTGGGCGCTTTTAAAACTCGTAGAACTTCAAAGCGAAAAACATCAGACCTCGGTAACGCAAATCCTGAACGTTTCTAAGCATTACTAGTGATCCTTCAGCGGCTTCAAAACGCTTAAGAGATTACTTGAGATACTGAGAACCTTCCTGCGTCCGGTTTGCCTCAGGTAAAGGCATTCTCAACTTTTTCCCTTCCAAATAACTTCCAAATACCTTCTGAGCACCTTCCCAAGACCTTCTCAAGACTTTCTAGCTTCCATTTACCTTCAAACCTCCTGCTGGCTACCTTCCCAACACCTTTCTAGGATTTCTAGGATTCTCACTTAAGTGAGATCAAGACTTTCATTCTGAGAGCGACGCGACCGCAACGCGTTGAGCCATTCAACATGCGACCAAAATACTTCATCCAGAAGGAATAGAATATAAGATCATTTTTTGACGAATTCTCAATTCAAAAGCTCCCGGAAAGTCTCAAAAATCCTCCAACTTTGCAGAGAAGAAAGCTCGCTCAGCTGACCAAATATCGAAAAAAAGAAGGGAGACGCCAACTAATTCCCATCATAATCATGTCCAAACAACGAAGGCGAGAATGATACTCGGGGAACCTGATTTTTCGTCAACACAAAAAGATTTTTCTCGCCACCAAAAACTGCAAAAGATTGTGGGTTTGGTCTGGTTCTTTCGCAGTTTGGTCTCGACGACCAATTTTGGCTTCTTTTGTAGCCAAATATCCGCACCTTTTAAAAGGTGTTTACGAGCCGAACGGCAAATAAAGTTGAACAATTGGACAGATCTTTGGAAAAGAGGTCTTGCAAAAAAAAAAATATAGTTCTTTGCCTTTTTGTTTGGTGGAGGAAAGTAGGATGTCTGGGTCCCAGACTCTGAGAAAGACGGTCTAAATTGAGTGAAGAAAAAAACTCAAAAAAAGGGAAGCTCAAATGGTTCAGCTAGTGCAATACTTGTACTACGGCGACATAATAAAACAGAAAGTTCAAAATTTTCCCATTTTGTTGGAAGATGCTCTTTTCTTGGCTATAATTTGGAAAGTTTGATGAAGAATATTCTGAACAATTCAACGTAGATCCTTTTTAAAGCCAAAAATTACTCTTTCTCAATCATTTTTCTTAATTATTCCCGCCAAAGGGACCCATAAGAAACTTCAAAAAAAAAAATTTTTTTTTTCTGTCTTTCTTCCCTAGGATTTCTTGTTTTCTTATATTATCACAAAGTTAAATAAATATTTTTTTTTTCTAATTGATTTCGCATAGTGTATAAGCTATTGATCTTTTGCCCGGAATCGAATAAATTGAAATGTTTGAAAACCAAGGGTTATACGATCAAGGTATCAAGTTTCTCGTTGGTCTATGACGCAAGGAATAGAAGGAATTTGGAAATATATACAAAAAGTCATGCGGTTCTCGGCTCCAATGACTGATACAAGGGAGGAAAATGAACATTGAACAAGAAAAAAAATAATTAAAAATAAAGGATTAATGAATAAATAAATAAATAATAGAACCACTAGAAGCACTAAAGAGATCCCTTTGAGATTCGCAACTTATATTTCAGCGCTCTGAATTGAAAATTGAACTATCTTTAACACACTCGACAATTCAATCGCTTTAAAAAAAACCATTCCAAGCCCAGAGCTCTAAAGAGGTCACTTCCTCATCTCCAAGTGAATTTTTGAAATGTCTTGAATAAAACTTCATTGTTTTTCCTTATGAGAAGCTTCCTGTGATTTTTAAAAACGTGTTTGTTAAACTTGATCAAAAATGGGAAGCCTGAAGCCTTCCAGAACTTTCCAACAGCATGAAAAATGCTTCTTATCATCTTTTTGGAATCGAAAAGCTTTGCGGATAATCCAAACTCCCACCAGATTTCTGAAGATTTCAAAGGAGCATAAGTAGATCTTATGAGCCTTTAATATTCCCATCAAGACCTTTACGATTGAATTGTTTTCTTTCAAGTTCTGGGAAAATTTTTAGTGGCCACTATAGATGCCTAAGTACTACTACTAGACCACTGAAATGTTTAGTGGCCACTTTAGGGATCAATGGATCAACATAATTGGTCCAATCAGTTTGTTTTAAAATTATCAGAGTTACTGGAAGGAATACTGAATGAAAAACTACTGAAGTAGCCACTAAAACGGTGAATAGTGGTCACTATAGAGGTGGGTTTAGTGGCCACTTTAGTGTCCTCTTCAAGTAGTCCTTGGCAAGCCTCTATAGTGGTCACTAAACATTTTCCCAGTTTTCTGAACATGAAACAATGAAAATTTGAAATTTGCTTCTCTATATTTTCTTTTTTTTTCTGACGCAAAATTGGTTTTCCTCATTGAAAATCCCAAGATCAGTTCCGAAACTTCCTCGATTTCTTATTTTAAAGATCAAGTTCCTCATTCCCAGTCAACAATGGCGCTACAAACCGACCGATAGTACAAAGTCAAAGTACAAAAACGACAATTGACTAAAAATCTTCCTCCCGCGTGATCTTTATCAATTTATCGCCGTAAACACATTTATCACTCTCATTATCTTTGTATAACGATGCCAAATTTGGGGTATAGGGTGCTATTTTTGGCTTTGTAGTAAAATATGTACACAGGTGGGTGGGAAAAGCGATTTTTGGGCGGAAAGGGGGAAATCATTTTTTTGAAATTTGATTTTAGTTTTTTTGAAGCTTTTCGCAACCACACCAATTTATGAGCCTTTTGCGAAACTTGGGTACCGGAAAATTTTTGAGTGGCCACTTTAGGGTTTTGACATTCTAGTGGCCACTATGGTAGTCGAATTAGTGACCTCTTAAGGGATCAAAATTTAGTTGCTCTTTGGAAGTCTAAGTGGTAATAATAAACAACTGAAAACTACTGTAGTGGCTTCTATGGAGAGGATTGTAGTGGTCACTTTAGTAGCCCCTTCAAGTAGTCCTTGAGGGGTCTCTTAAGTGATCACTAGATTTTTCGTTTTGTTTTCAATTTCAAACTAAAGGTGGTTTGTTTTTATATCGAACTGTGGAATCAAGAAAAGTTAATTTTAACAAATATTTTTTTAAATATAAGTTTATTTCCAAAAAAAAACCCACAATTTCCATCGTCCTGCAGACAACACCATTGTGACACCACTAAAAAAAAATAAATTACTCCAAAATTTCGAAGAAAAATTACATTTTTTTCTCCACATGATGAATCATCCTTTCGGCGAAGGATTCGTCGTTTGCAACTTGATTTATTTTCTTGAGAAATATCAGAAGATTTCAACGAAATTTTCCAGCAAACCACAACTTGCAATAAACATATTCATTTTATTTACAATCAAAAAATCAAAAAAAAAAATCGCAAAAATCAAGAGGGGACAAAAAAGACAGAAAGACCCGATCAATTTCAGAAAATCGTCGATGACGTCATTCATTCGAGTTTAGTGACGTCATAGGATATCTTTGGATTCGCGTAGGGACCTCACGGATGACGTGGTTGACTGTAAAATCGCGTCATTTTCAGGTTTTTCATGTTAATTTATGCGACGCCACCCTGGGAATCGACTAAAATAGGTATGGGGTCAAAGAAAAAACTATGAGTAACTCTTTTTTTGATCATGTAACAAAAGATCAAGGATCTGACCCCTGAATTCGTAAAGTTTAAGTAGTCCCTAGAGGTGTCTAAAAAAACTAAAGACTCTTTGAGGACCCTAGAGGGGCAACTTCTGCAAAATTTAATGGCCCCTATAAGCAAAGGAAAAGTGGAGAGGAAAGTTCGAACCAGAGTGGTCCCTATAGGGCCTCTAAAGCTTCAAGGTTTCATGACCAATAACTTTTTTACAGGTTTCCCTACACCTTGAAAAAATTACAACTTTAAAATCGCCCTCCAATCTAGGTTCCCAGTATTCACCTCAGTATTATCCTCCAAGTTTTCCATCCTTTTTCGGTGGAAAATACTGGCGGCGTGCATCATCGAATGGAGTCCTCCTTGTGGAACGTGTCCATTCTAAAAATCGGAAATAGGTCAATTTTTAGAGTTCTGAAGGCCGAAAATGGTAGAAAACAAAAGAAAAGCCACTAGAAGGTCTCACGAAGATCTCTTTCACAAACTCGTGAGAGGGTAGAAAACAGAAGAAACGTCGCTAGAAGGTCGCAAACAGGTCACTTTTTACACGCTTATCCTCTCTTGAAAAATTATGAAGGTTCAAAAAAAGGGGATCTCGCCAAAATGATAAATACAGGCTGAAAAAGCGGAGAAAAAAAAGGCGCCTTTCCCCTAAAAAAAAACATTTTTTTCGGACACCACTGTGCACTTTCCCGACTTTCCTATGTCAGTACCTCTTGCTCATGCTCCGCAGGTGATCCATGAGATCCATGACCGGAGCCGTGACGAGCCATTCGCGGCTCGCCGAGCTGGAAGAACCCAAAGTTGAGGTAGCGCTGGAGGAGCTCCAGATAACAGCCGCTGACAGTGAAGGCGAATAAGTAATCGGCCGGGAACAACGTTTGCGTGAAGATCATGCAGATCAACGTGGTGCTCGAGAATCTGAAGGTTTTTCATTTTCTAAACTATTTTTGGATGAAAAGGCTTAGAAGATCTTTTATGCGAAATTTGACGAAAAATACTTTCCGACTCTAAAGGTCCAGACAAAGTTTCCTTGAAAAACCCTTTCCATCTTCATACTTCTCAATAAAATTCAATAAAAAACGGTTTTTTATAATTTTCCTTAAAGAGGTTTCTGTATTACCTGAAAGTCTCGTCCGTCAATTCGTACTTTATCAAAGAAGTAGCAAAAAATGTGATTCCGAAGTGAACCCAGGCGATGAGCAAACCTCCTGAAACACTCGAAATAATTAAAACTGCTCAGAAATTGGCAAAATTTGTCTAGAAACCAAGTTATTGTTTTTTCATGAGTTTCGGCTAGCGGCCAGAGATGGGCGGAATTTTCTCACCATGCTTAGGAGCGTCAGAGTGGTCCCTAGAGGGGTTGGGAAGAAAAAACAGCGCCTACTGCGGGGCTAAAATTGAGGTGATCCATATAGGGGTTTAGGGTCTCACCCCTGAGCCCCTAAAGCTTAAGTGGTCCCTAAAGTGGTCTTAAAAACTTTCATTATGACTTGCACAATGAAAAGACGTATGGGATCTGTGACAGGCTCCCCTGAAGTGACCACTTCTACAAGATTCAGTGCCCCTATAGGAGGAGTGTCCCTGAAAGTGCCCCCTTTAGGGACCACTCTGGCGTTCCTAAACCTACTCAAAGTCTCCACATTTTTTTCTCTAACCTTTACCTCAAGTCTGAAACAAACTGTAACATATATCATTCAAAATAGAACTTCAAACTAATTCAAGTCCAAAAAAGGCTTACCTAAGCCAACAAGGGGAAGGAAAGACTTTGTAGCTTTACAATCACGATCAGACAATGCGAGAAGCCGCCGAATCGCGAAATATTGGAGCCATTGGGACAACTAAACTTTTGAAATTTTTTTTTGATCGCTTTGAGATTTTGAGTCGCACCTGCATGGTCGCCAGGTTAACCGTTGAGACGATGGCATCCGTTTGATTGATAAAACCGTCTTTTCTCTGATATTCGAGTTCGGTGGATTGCAGGACCTAGAAATGATTGTTCAAGAGAAAGAGAGCAAAATATTATAAGAGCATTTCAAAAAAAAAGATCAAAAAAAGTAGTTTTCCAGTGTTTTATAACGACCGTACCGTGGTGTATAGAAACCACGGCTTCTATTATTATTTTTTTCAAAAAGTGTCACTTTGATTTGAATCAGTGTTACTTGAATCATAGAAGGCAAAAAATTTCTACATGAATCGTGCTGGTAAGTCTCACATTTTTTTTCGAAACAGTATACCTCAAACAAAAAATAAAAAAATGATAATCTGGTTTCATGATTTTTTTCATTTTTCACTCGTTCAAACCTTCCCAAACCTTCGAAAGGCTTGATAGATCTAATTATGATCACAAAAGCTTAAAAAAACTCGGAAAAACACAGCCTTGCAGATATATACAAAAGAAAAAAATTCGTCTGACCAGGGAACGTTTTTTACCCCCCGGTTGAACTTTTGCTGAAACTTTGCTGAAGTGTACTTTAGGACCTCCTGATTGCAGATCAAGAAAAAAAAATTCTCGCAATAGATCTTGTTTCCGAGTTATAGAGCTTCAATGTGTGCAAAATACGCAAATTAGGCCAAAGAGGCGCTATTTCGGGCTTTTGAAGTGTCCTAACTCGAAAACGAGATCTAAAAAAATGTTCCCTAGTGAGGAACGATTTTTCTTTTTTTTTTTCGAAAATTTTGACTTCTGATCCTTGAACAGGAATATGATCCGGAAGGAAGCCAATTTCAATTATTTTTTTCAAAGCTAAGAATGAAAATTATGTTAAGTGTCAAATGAGAAGCTCATGCCGTTTCTAAAAAAACGCAAAATAGCCGTCATAAAGTGAAGAAAGATACCTGAACTTAGGAGAGTGTGAGATGTTTTTGAACTCAAAAAAAGTACACGGCATCAACTTAAAATGAAACAACAATATAAAAAAAGAATCATTTATAGCTTTCAATAACACCCCCCGCCAAAAATTTTCGATAACATACCAGTTTAATGAGAAGAACGACACAACATCCGAAAAGGATGGAAATATCGCCTCGAGCGTGGGCCTTGTGATGGGCGTCGAGCCGTTCATCGGCGATCGTTATGGAGAATATCCACATCTGAAGTTATCCTTCATCTTTTGGTTCAAAAATGTTGGAAACATAATTTTATCGTTTGAGAGGTTATCGCGTCAAATTTTCGATTATCATCGATTCCGTGTAAAAGCTTCCCTCGAAGTGGTCGCTCTCATTCTGAGGCTTCCCCCTAGAGCACGGTCTCCGGGCTCCAGCTACACCATCCACTATATTCTGAGCTCGTCAAGGCGCAACTGAATGGACTATGCGCAGAAGGACGAGGCGAAGGACCGTAAGACCATGCTTTCAACTCTTTCGACTACACGTTTGGACTTCTAGCTCGCCAAAGGCGGTTGTTCGTTATAGCTTTCAAAGTTCTTGTTCACCGCCTAGTCGATTACATCACTAAAACAACAAAATAAATGATTTGATTTGATCATACTTTTTCTGGGTTTCTTGGGTACCTAACTTTAAGATTACCTAGAAAAGAAAAGGATTTGGTAAGTTTCTGTCCAAAAGTATGATCTTAAACCGACAAACTCAACTAGTTCCAGTTCTAATTTATATTATTGACGAGATAGAAAAAAACCGAAAAAATTACTGAGATTTGATCGGAACCGGATAAATAATGGAACTGATAACATTCCAATCGATAAAAATTCTATCAATCTTTTTTTTTCTTTAGAACTTACTCCAATAAACATGAAAACTTGGAGGACATTCGCCACTAAACTCGTGTAATCGTTAACAACCCAATGTTTTGCCACGAGCTCGTCGAAATCTGAAAATTTTCCAGTTAATTTGTCTTTTTGCTACTGAAAATCCAAACCGATGGCATAATAAAAATAAATGATCCATTTCAGGACCGACGCCAAGCTCGCCAGCGGGACTATGACCCAGAAAAAGTAAACGGTGATCTTTCTGAAGAAAAAAAAAATGGATTCAGAACACAATTCTTTGACAGAACTAGCTTTGAAATATACAAAGATGCAATGCGTTTCTATCAACAACAAAAAAACAACTTTTGCAAGGTTTTAAGAAAACTCGCAACGTCATTTCACAGGTTTAGCGATTTCAAAACGAAACTTTTGAGGTATGAAGGCTTAACACGCTGTCTCCGTTATTCTCAAAAACAACGGGTACAATAAAAAAAAATATTTTTTGATTTTGACGAAACTTCATCCAGTATAATTGTCCGTCATCAGAAATGCGGATCCAACTTTTTGAGCCATTCCCTCTTACTGTAGCCGGGATACGGTAGGCAGGTGGGCACCTGCGTATCTCAGTATTTAAGAGTTTTTTTATTAGGCGAGTGATATATCAATCGATAGGTAATCCAATTTCAAGAACTTTTACAGTACATACCATCTTGGGTTACGGTCGAAAAATTTTGAGTTACGGTACTTTTTGTGTCTGCCGAGTCAGTTTTTCGACCACCATGAGCTTGAGCCAGGAGATCCATTCTTCCTAACTTCTCAAAAGATACCTTATGAGAAGCTGTACAAGCTGGTACTAGTTTGAAAAATCCTAGGTGGACCATCATTTCGAAAAATCGCCCCGAAGGCGCGCAATCGTGGTCTTGCGGCGGCCAAGTGGGTGAAGTCCATGATGCCTGACGGCTCATTCTTCACAGATCCATTCCAATCTTTGTTTCCATTTCACTCATAGATATCTATTATTGATTTTCATTTCAATTTGAGATGTTTTCGGGTTGACCATCATTTCGAAATTTCATTTTGAACCCAAATTTGGCTTGAAATGGCCGACTCGGCCTTTTTCACGGGATCCCTGACCCCGTATGTGACCGCTCTCAACTTTTTTCTTTCTTAAACGTGAACAAGAGTGTCTGAACAACATTTTTATAACAATCAGAAACCCTTTTGAGAAGACCATCATCTCGAATTTTCATTTTGAACCCAAATTTGGCCTGAAATGGCCGACTCGGCCTTTTTCACGGGATTCCTTATAGAACTGTCAAGTACAACTTTTTATATCGTTTGAACGACGTGAAATCGGAGAAATAGGCATACAAGCATGTACTGATTTTTGTGAAAAGTAGTTATAGAAAGACCTTTATCTTTCATCTCAACAAGACAGATTTTATCACTCTGCTCTTCGATTTTACGTTTCAACGAAACGAAAAATTTCACTTACCAGTTCTTTAAAAATTTCCTCTTTTCCAATCAACATAGGGTCAAATTTGAGTTCAAAATGAAATTTCGAGATGATGGTCCTCTCAAAAGGGTTTCTGATTGTTATAAAAATGTTGTTCAGACACTCTTGTTCACGTTTAAGAAAGAAAAAAAGTTGAGAGCGGTCACATACGGGGTCAGGGATCCCGTGAAAAGGCCGAGTCGGCCATTTCAGGCCAAATTTGGGTTCAAAAATGAAATTTCGAAATGATGGTCAACCCGAAAACATCTCAAATTGAAATGAAAAATCAATAATAGATATCTATGAGTGAAATGGAAACAAAGATTGGAATGGATCTGTGAAGAATGAGCCGTCAGGCATCATGGACTTCACCCACTTGGCCGCCGCAAGACCACGATTGCGCGCCTTCGGGGCGATTTTTCGAAATGATGGTCCACCTAGGATTTTTTCAAACTAGTACCAGCTTGTACAGCTTCTCATAAGGTATCTTTTGAGAAGTTAGGAAGAATGGATCTCCTGGCTCAAGCTCATAGTGGTCGAAAAACTGACTCGGCAGACACAAAAAGTACCGTAACTCAAAATTTTTCGACCGTAACCCAAGATGGTATGTACTGTAAAAGTTCTTGAAATTGGATTACCTATCGATTGATACATCACTCGCCTAATAAAAACTCTTAAATACTGAGATACGCAGGTGCCCACCTGCCTACCGTAACCCGGCTACAGTAAGAGGGAATGGCTCAAAAAGTTGGATCCGCATTTCTGATGACGGACAATTATACTGGATGAAGTTTCATCAAAAATCAAAAATATTTTTTTATTGTACCCGTTGCTTTTAGAAATTTTTTTGAGAATTACAGAGACAGCGTGTTAAAAATCGACCAGAAAAACCTAACTCTGATTTTTGAAGACACATGGCCCTGTACTTCCGTAAAATTCGAACAATTCGTACAAAAAACATGACTCAAAACTGGCTAGAACTTTTTCAGAAAAAGATACATTTTGAATGAAGAGAAAACTTCAAAAAACTTTTTCAGGAGACTAGATCGCAGTTTTTGAGGTATGAAGGTTTAAAGGCGATCAGAAAAACAATATTTTCACTTTTAAAGGCTCTTCGCTCTAGTAATCTTCTGAAATTCAACACATGATCCTTTAAAACTAAACCTAATGACCAATGGAGGCGACTGCATGGCCGGATGAGCAACGTAGACCCGAGAAATGTCCTTCATGAACTCCCGGAGCATTCCCCGGACGCCGGCCTTTCTCTGAAGAAAAATAAATTCATTCTTCTTTTTTTGAAAAGTCAGACTTTCATTCTCCTCTCAATATCCTCGGCCTTTTCCTCGGCGCCACCACAGGCCAGCCAATGACCGACGAGAAGAACTGGGAAAAATTCGGAGGCACATGAAATGATTGAACTGGAGAGAAGGCCTTTGTTTATGTAGTACCTGGAAGGAAGGTTGCAAATATTTTTGACGCCTTTCATTTTTTTAAATAATAAGTCGTACACAGATCGGTGCGAACCCCCACGGGCAAAGTCTTCACAGGCCTGTTTTTCTGACCTTTTTCTGAAAAGGATCATTTTATGAAAAAAAGAAGAAGAAGGCGGAAAAAAGGAGATTTCGAGAAACTTTTGACACCTTTTAGGAACTCAAAAATGGGCTCTAGACTCTTATTTTTCGAGGCTTTTTCAAGGTCTTTTGAATTTGCCCTGTGGAATGATTGGGGGAGCAAAGGTGTTGTAATAGGGGGTTTTTCGCAAAGAAGCAAAGTCCAAACAGCCTTAAAAAGCCACAAAAAGAAGAGTCTGGAGCTCATTTTTGAGTTCCTAAAAGTTCCTCTTTCAGGACCTTCTGGACTTTACCCATGTATGCAATAAAGTGAACAATGATTGTCCGCCATTTTTCTTCAAAAAGAAACTCGCTAATGAATCTTTTTTTTTGATTTTAGGTGTTGTAATAGGGAGGGGGGATGGGTTTGAAACGCTACATTTTTCTCACATCAATCAATTTCTATTTTCCCCTGGATTGGTTGAAAAAGCTATTTGCACACATTGACATCAAGACTGTCAATGACTTTTCATTTACGGGTTGAAACGTACATTTTATAAGTTGGATGGTTTTTTTAGAATGAGAAAAAGTGAAGTAAAGAAAGTTGTTAAATCTGTTTGATGGCTGACTAGAGCCGTCAAAAAAAGGGTCCTGACACGATAAGAAAAGCGACAGTGCTTGTTTGGTGGAGATAGGGACCGCAGACGAATTTTCAAAAAAATTTTTTCAGCATTGAGCTTCGTATGGTTTGATAGCTGTTTCGATTCAAAAATCAGAACCGTTTAGTTTTTCGAAAAAGATTGAGGATGAAAAAAGTTATGACGAAAAATGTGGCGCGCCGCGCACCAATTTTTAGTACTGGAATTTTGGTATTATCCATTTTTGACGTTTTTCTCGATTTTTCTTCTAGAATAAGTTTTGACACTGGTCTATTATGATGTAACAAATCGTAATAGAGTGCTAAAATGATAAAAAAATTTGCTAGTTTGCCGAAAAAAAGTCGGTATTTTTCCAGAAAACAAAAAAACTGGCGCTTGCGGGCATCGAACTCGCGACCACAAAATGAAAATTCGCAGCGCACGCGCTGCGCCAAGCTGTTGAGTCCAGCAAGGAGAGCTTTCATCCGCCATACCCTTGAGCCGTTTGAATAGCACAGATTGCCTATTTCAAAAAAATAAAAAAATTTGAAGTAATTTAGCTACTTTTTATCAGAATATGTTCGCAAATCTTTACTCAAACTTTCTGTGGAAATTCACTTCGAAAAAAAACTGTTTTTTTAGTGCTTTTTTTGCCTCGTTCAACGATCGCTGCATTAAAATGGCCCCGTAAATTTTTTTGGCAAAGACGAATTTTTTTATTTTTATTCTTTTTAATTGAAAGATTTTTTTACTAATAAATGCATATAATCGTTTAAAAAAAACCTGCGTTCGACCGCTTTCTGTGTGATAAACGCCGCTAATTTTATTCTCTATTTTTCAAGAGCATTTTGGCGTATTAAACAACTTTTTTTCAAGCACATATGCTGTGGAGAAAAAAATTTGAGTAAGCCCATGGTCTAAATTTTTGAAAAAAACAAAAAAACTCGATTATATTCGCTTATTAACGATATTTTGAATTATGACTTTCGGCACTCCCTAAAATTTTTGGCAAAGACGAATTTTTTATTTTATTGTTTTAAAATTACCGTTACTTGAATCAAAATCATTATTTAAAAAAAGAAAGAGTGCGTTCGACCTCAAAACACATGAAAAAGCAAAAAATGACAAATTTTTTTAGTTGCATTCACGTTTTTGTACGACATTCCGCGAGAACGCATCAAAAAAGCGTGAAATATTTTTTAAACGAAAGAGGAAGCTTTTCTGTACATGTGTGTCAAATTTCATTAGCCAGTTCCACATATTTTGCAACTACAACAAAATGAAAGTTGAAAACCAAAAAAAAGCCACTTTTTCTATCGCGAAAAGGGGCGTGGCTTTGCGGTCCCTAGGTGGAGAGCGGGGGCAGGTCACGCCTTTTTTTTTTGTTCCAAGCCGGCTATACTGGGAAAGTTATTAGTGGTCACTATATATAGAGGCTCGCCGAGGACTACTTGAGAGGACACTAAACCCACCTCTAGAGTGGCCACTATTTTTCCGTTTTAGTGACCACTTCAGTAGTTTTTTTCATTCAATATTCCTTCCAGTAACTCTGATAATTTTAAAAACAAAACAGATTGGACCAGTTATATTGATCTATTGACCCCTAAAGTGGCCACTCAAACTTTAAGTGGTCTAGTAGTAGCACTTAGACCTCTATAGTGACCACTAAATTCTAACCTTTTAAGAGGCCACTAATTTTACTACTATAGTGGTCTCTAAAACGTCAAAACCCTATAGTAGCCACTGTAAATTTCCCAGCTAAGCTTCAACTTATTTTCAAGGATCCTAATGGAATTCACCATGACTTTTGAGTACCGTGAAGGTCATCGTAAGGGCTGCAATCGTAATTTCGCTTCATTACTGGACACCAATACCCTTCCAACTCTTTTCTTTGGCACAGCTCCTAAAAAGTTCAAATTTTAATTTATCAATCAAAGTTTTCTGAAACTTGATGGCTCAAGTAGCCCTTGTAGATGACGACCTTCATCCAGACTACGGAAAACGTGATGTTGATGAACAAACGGCCGACCTAAAGAAGGGTAATCGCTACTTTTTCTGTTGGTAAAAAGATAATGCTAGTTTTCTGAAATTTTTCTTGCGTATTTTGAGCCAAAAAAATTATTTTATCAACCAAAAAAAATTGAAAGAAAAGCTTAATTTCTGCTCTCCATATTGATTTCAGACCTAAAGTTTACAATTCATCAGTTTTTACAATTTATACAACTGAAAAAAATCATCAAATAGCATCTGAAACACCAAAAAATAAATATTCCAATCTATGTAAAACAAATTCTTAACACTAAAAATAAACACCCATTACCTTGACAGAAATTTAAAAAAAAGCGCTTCCCCTGTTTTTATCCAACATCCACCTTACCTTATCCAAATTCGAATTGATAGCTCCGTAATATCTTCGATGAAGAATATAAATCAGAGATAGCCCGGAAAAGGAGGCCATGACCAGGTCATAAATGGTTTCGAGCCAAAGTTCAGAAGAATAAATCGCGTCGACAAGTTTATCGCAGGACTGGAATGCGTAGTTGAACACGATGAAGTAGAGATACCTAACAAATTTTCATTTTTTTTCTATCAAGTTTTTTTCAAAAAACTAACCCAAGCATGATGCCGATGGTCAAGGCGATGGCGCCTGAAACTCAAAAAATACAGTTAGTTCTACAAATCGTGACAAAAAACCTATCAACGCAGGATCCGGAATCGAGTGAGGCTCGTCTAATTTAGGCAACTTCCTGGTGCGATACAGAAAACTCAAGTTCGACAATCCCACAGCAAATCATCAAAATACCGACAATCTTCAAGTTTCAAAATGAATTGATAAGAAATAAACATTTTTCCTACCGTATGATACGCCCTCAAGTAGAAAATCGTTTCTTCTCGGCTCAAAAGCACGTAAAGGTTCATGAAAATACATAGAAATGAACACAATGTACAGACTGCATGTGCAAATGTGGTGGATCTGTAAATTAAGGCATTTTTTTCTGAAAAACATGGAAAAATCTTGAAAATTGGACATTTTATAGTCAATGTTTCCCGACTTGAAAGGCGAGAAAGGCGGGGCAGGGGCGGACGCGTAGCGTGTGCGTTTGCGGTCCTTGGCACGTGTTCAATTCAACCGCCATATACTCTTTGAAAAGCCCGTTTTTTTCGCTTTTTTTCATTCTTTTTTTCAATTATTTATTGATTATATTCATGTGGGCATCAAGAAATAGTAGAAAAACATTGAAAAAAAGAGCGGTTGCCGAGCTTTTTAAATAGTCGGCGACAATTGAATTGAACTCCTGCCAAGAACCGCGAACGCACACGCTACGCGTCCCGCCCCTTGCCCCGCCTCCTTCGCCTTTCAAGTCGGGAAACATTGACTATAAAAAGCTATTAAACCAAAGAAAAGCTTTCAAGCTTAAACGCTCGATTCTTAAAAAAAAGCTCAACGCGCCTAATGAGGAATTACTAAAATAAATCAAAAAAATGGAAAAACCAAAGAAAACTCGAGTTTTGACATTTTTGTGAGTATAACTCGTTGTTTTTTTGAGACCTTAAATTAACGCTTTTATTTTTTCTTCGAACTTCACGATATCGCTCTTTCAAAAAATCTTTGCAAGTAAATTTGCGTGCATCCCAACAAACACTATCAAGGAAAACAAAAACTCGAAAAGTGGAAACAAAAAACTATTTAAAAAAAAGATTATTTTTGCAAGGCAGGAAAAAGTGGGCGGAGATGTTTTTTCAAGGTGGCGCGCTAATTAACTTTTTTCAAATTTCGATGGTACGACAAAATCTCAAGTCCGCAAATCTTGAGGACCGTAATCTTGTGTACGCAGATCTAAAGTCCCATAATCTTGGAAACCAAAATCTTGGAGACCAAAAATCTTGGAAACCACAATCTTGGAAAGCAAAAAAATCTTCCTTTTTTTAGTCTTCTTTATTGCACTTTATCTACTTATATTTTTCTTTTTTGGATCACCAAATACAATTTCTGATAAAAATCTATTCACAAAAAGCGTTGATTTTTACTTTCCAAGATTGTGGTTTCCAAGATTTTGGTCTCCAAGATTTTGGTTTCCAAGATTATGGGACTTTAGATCTGCGTACACAAGATTACGGTCCTCGAGATTTGCGGACTTGAGATCTTGTCGTACCATCCAAATTTCTTTTATGCAAACGAATTTTCAAAGTTAAAGTTAATCCCGGCAATTACTGAATTTAAGTTTATTCCTCTAGAACGGTTTCTCAAAATAAATAAATTGAAATTTTTTTCTTAATTAATTAATCCGGGAGCCGTTAAAATGTTTAGACCCGCAATGAAATGGTAACTTTTATGCGAAAGTTTAAAGCTTTGGAATTATTTGGGACCTCCAGACTATTAAGATATTAAAAAAACTAGATTATTTGTTGATTCTAAACACTCAAAAAGCTAGTCATTATTCTCATTTTGACTTCAAAAAGTCTGTTTCAGGCTTTTTTAACGTCAGTTTTGAGTTTATTTTGTTCTAGAACAAAAACAAAAAGCACTAGGTAAAAAAACAAACCTGGGCCGTCCATCGAACCAAACCCATTGCAAAAGCCTGTGAAGGAGGACCTGAAAAAATGTGTTCCGCGTCAGTTTCACATCAATTTTTTATGCATCATTTTGCGTTATCACAAAAGGTAAGGTAAGAAAAACTATGAAAAATTGGCTTTTTCCTGGCCAAGAAAATTATCTATTTTTGGAATATTTTTAATGCTTTTCAAAAAACTATTGGCTTTCAAAGAAGGTAAGAAAAGCTTGATTATCCATCCTAACGAGCTTTATTTTTGTCATGTTGGCTTAAAATTTTGATTGATTGCTACAGGAAAATAGACTTTTTCCAAAAATAATGATAAAAAATATCACAAAGACGCAAATTGAAAAAGGCTGGGAGCTGCCGACGGCCATCAAAAATGTCGGTATGAAAAAAACCTATAAAGACGTATCGCTACAATTTCGTTGCACATAAAACCTTTTTTATGCTTTTTCATCATTATCACTAATTTATCACGGTATCTGTCCTTTGTCCAACGTCGGGTGCTTACGTAAGACATCTGGTTCAACAGGAACTTGTTAGAAAGGTTATCAACTAATTAGTTTATCAATAGTTTTTGTTGGGAAAATGGGAAACTTTTTGGTCGTCTCCTGGTTTTGGGAATTTTTAATGGTCACACGATGACACTTTTAACGGTCATGGTAAATGTGATAAAAACAGAGAAAAGCGTGGTTTTAGTCCTTTGATCGCATATTTTGTTTAATTGCGAGGTGTGTCTAGGTAAAATTTCTTTAAAAGTTTTATATCGACCAATAAAAGTGAGTCAAACACGGTAATGGAATGGCATCATCCGGAATTGAGAAATAGAGTTAAGAAAATAGTGAAAGTTTGCTTAAATGCGAGTTTTTGATGATTTTTAGGAAGGAATTAATTTTTTTTTACGAAAGATCGCAAGGAGAATGGTCAGCGTCGCGGTCGCGTTGCGTTTTCGAAAGTTTGGGAGGAATACCCTCTTTTTGAAGGGATAAATTCAATGAAAACCTTGATCAAGTTTCATTTTCTGTTAGAAGAGGTCTTTAACAAAAAAAACTAATTTTTCTTCTCAAAAGACCGCATAAAGAATGGCTAACCGCAACGCGGTCGCAAAGCCTCTCTTGAACTTGAAATTCTTCAGATTTCTAAAGCAATTTACACCACAAACCACCATTTTTATGAACACCTTTATTGCCCATCAATGTCACCATATCCATTTATAGCTCCGCTATCATTATATCATTAAAATTATCATCTTAACCCTGCAACTGGACGATTCCGGACCAACTTGGCGCCGAAATCGACGACTTTTATTTATCAGCACACAGTTGTGACGTCAACAACGTTGCGAATTGATTGTTTGCCGGGATTTTTTTCTCTTTCTCGCTTTATTTATGACTACATTTTCTATAGTTCATTTCGAATTATATATATCTTTTCTTTTTGAATTTTATATGGCTTGAAAAGAATAATTGCATAACGATGCTAGTGATTTTTCTATGATAAAACGTGTTTTTAAAGCATTTTAATTGTAAACAAAAAAACTTGAAATGTTAAAAAAATTGAGCTGGAATTCTGGTTTTGTTTGTAAAATTTATTTTTGCGCGTCAGGGCGTGTAGAGACTGCGACAATGCGTCGCTCTGTCGTGAAAAAAATTAGTTTTTTTATGCGAAAAAAATTGAAAATTTTTGAATGAGGTTTTTTTGTTTTTGGTTTAATTTCTGAACTGATTTATTTTTCTCATAAGTAATTCAATGAACTTCATTTTTTTGATGATTAACAGAAACATTGATCAAAAAAAGAGTTTTTCTTTTTTTCAAACAAAAGTTTTTTTTTAATTGAAGCATATTTCTATTTTTTATTATTAGAAATGAATGGAGTTTTTCCACAATGGTCTTGTAAATTTTTCTCAAAAGAAAAAGAAAAAAAGAGAAGGACGATACTATTTTTTTCATATTTCCTTCTAAATTTAATCTTTTTTTCAGGTGGAAAAAAATTGAAATGACAGTGCCGGAGATTGTTGACCCCACCTGGCTCGTCAAGCACTTCTACGTAATTTTTAAAAAACAAAAAAACGGAAAAAATTGACTTTTTTCAAGGACGTGAAGTTGATCGATGCGACGTACACGTTGAAGCCGCAATTGAACCCCGAAGACTTCAAAGAGAAATATTTCGGGAAATTCGAGCAGCTTATCAACGATTTCGTGAGATTTTCATTAGATTGTATAGGCTGTTCAGATTTCGAATCTCGAATCAAGCTACGCCCCTTACGACGTAATAAACCAATTAGAGAGCGGGCTATCCACAGAGCGTTTTTGAATGACGTCATTGTACTTGACATTTGGAGTCTGAAGAGACTTTTGAGCTTAAAAAAGCAGAAGCGAGAGATCAGAAATGGGCGGAGAGACGGCAGAGAAGCTAGAGTGTCTCTCTTTCTCTGGCGTCTCTTCAGTCTCCCTCTCTCGCTTCTGCTGTTTTACATAGATTTTTTAACAATGTAGCATGAAAATCAATATTTATTTTAGAAAAACGAAGAATACCAGAAGGAACACATCACAGGGGCCGTCAATTTCAATGCCGATATCGCGTTTTATCCTTCAAAGTTTGTATTCAAAAATATAAAGATTTTTTTGTCTTCGAAAAAAATCATATAGTTGTTCAACGGTCTTTTCCTAGTACAAAAACTTTTTTTAATTTTTCAAAAAAAGGTGAAAAAAATTAATAATTTTATGATCAGAATTTTGAAAACCTCGTCGATTTTTTTGAGTAGGTTAGGCAATTTTTTTAAGATTAAACATTTTGAAAAGTTGCTCTTTTAGTCCTTTTTTTCTCAGCTAATAAAAGCTGGATAACTTTTTTTGAAAAAAATAGTCTTTCCAGAAACGTCAAGTTCGCGCTGTATGAGCCACGACTGTTTGAGCAATACGTCCAACTTTTGGGCGTTAAGCGGGACGACCACGTCCTGATTTACGCCCGAGGGCCAGTCGCCGGGATGCTTTTTGCTTCTCGAGCTTACTGGACTTTCAAGGTAATTTTTTTTTTCGAATGAAGGAGTGTTTATTGAGCAAATAGTGTGTAAAAAGAACTTAGGAACTCCATTTTGGTCCCTATAGGGGCAACCCTGAGGGCCTTTGAAGGTCCCCCTCTAGGGACCACTTTACCTCCCTCTTAGAGGGGCACTAAGGATTGCAAAAAGGTTTCTAAAGGGGTTTTAGTTAGTGGCGTTAACCAGTCTGAAAAAAAAAATTGAAGAATCCCTATAGGGACCCCTTAAGCTTTAGAGGCTAGATAAACAGGTCCTAAACCCCTAGAGGGACCACCTTAACTTTACCCCTTTGAGGAGCACTTTTTCCCTTTTTTTAAGGGCAGTTTTTCTTTTGTCACCCCTATAGGGGCCGCTCTGGCGTTCCTAAAAAGGTTTTTCTGTAGTATTTCATGTCACAAGTTAGCCTTGAAAATTAATATTTTTTTAGATATACGGATTTGAAAACGTTAGTGTATTGAACGGAGGTCTTGAAGCCTGGAAAGCCATCGGAGGGGCTGTTAAAAGTGGCGAGGAAAAACCTCAGGTTGGTTTTTTTTTTGAGATGTTTGAAAATGATTTTCAACCTTCAAATCTTGTTTTGAGGCGTTCGATTCAGCTATAAAGCCTTGTAGGTTAAATTCATTGAACTAAATGGACTTACAACTTGAACTCGGACCTTGCTGACGCAAATCGGACGTGTCGGGGTAGTCCTAGTGACCACTTTAGTAACGTCAACACTATTAAGTGATCCCTAAAGATGCTAAGATACGTCCGGTTTTTCGTTACCAAGGTCCGAGAAGAGAAAAAAAGAAAAAGTAAATATTAATTTTTTTCCTCCAACTTAGTTTCGAAATAAATATTCTCAATAAAAATCATTAGACTACCGATTTTTGAATGAAAAAGTATCGACTGGGGATAAAACGATCAAATTAAATATTTTAAGTTTCAAATTGATGCAAAAATTGGTAGACTACTGTAGGGGCTACTTGTTTTAACCCTAAAGGGATCCCCCTTAAGTTTTTGAGTGAGATCAGACCATCATCTATATAATATTATTTATTTACAGGCAGAACAAAATAAAATGTACAAGAAAAAAAAGAAGGAAAAAAATCGGCATTTGAGCCTGAGATAAATAAATAAAATCTCTAAAGTGACCACCTTGATTTCTTGAGTGAGAGATTAGACCCTAACCCTAAAAGACCACTCAATTGTTTCCCCACTAGTAAGCACTACAGTATAATGTCCTCTGCATGATCTTTTTTTTCCCTAACCCCTCTAGGGACCACTCTTACGTTCTTAAGTATGCCAATTTTTTTTTTCAGAAGGGCGATTTTGAAGCCAAGGAGATCGATGAGAAGCTTCTGGCGCAGTTTGAAGAAATCCCCTTCAATCATCTCGAAAATGTCCAATACTTGGATGCAAGGCCAAAAGAACAGTTCACTGGAGAGCAGCCGCTCGGTTTTCCAGATGCTCGTGAGTTTATAAATCTTTTGATAGTTGAAATTTTATTTTTTGTGAAATTTTCCGGAAGTACCAGCCCACTGTAGTCGCCGAATAGCCAAAAAACCCCAAAAAATCAAAAATTAGAGCTCAAAAAGCAGAGAAAGTTTCAAAGGGCAGAAATTTTGGAAGATCTTTGAGCATATTTTTTCACTTTTTCATAGTTTTCAAGTCGAAATACTTTAATTGGTAAAGTGAATTAATAAAATTTGAAACTTTTTGTGAAATTCTGTGCTTTTTTATTATCAATACGCCTCGAAGTTGTAAGAAAAAAACACGGTGTTTCAATAGTTATGACGCACCTTCTTTAAAGAGAATTTTTTTCGTCTTTTTCGAAATTTTTTTCGAATAGTTTTTTTCGACTTAATAACAGGTTTTTTTATTCAATTCATGTCAATTTTCGTTTTTTTTTTATACTTTTTAATTCAAAAAATATACTTTGAGTTATTCAGACGGTCGTGTCTATAATTATGACGCGCTTTTTAGAGCCCAAACCACTTATTTACCCTTACTTTTTTGGTTTTAGAAGTCTTTCCAATAATTTTTTTTTGAACTATTTTAATGCAACCTATGGATAAAATTTATTAAGTTGTTCAGACTTTATCGGAGGTTATGAATACACCTTGAAACGGCAAGGAAAATCAAAAAAAGTAAACGTGCGTCAATAGTTATGACTCATTATTCAGAGCAAATGAAGTTCAATCTCAATTTTTCTGAACTCTCTTTTCAATGAAATTTATATTTTTTTGAAATTGAAAAAAACGTGAAAATTTAAAAAGTTTTTTTATCCGGTTATCAAATTTTTTTAAACGTTACCGGATGTTGAAATTGCAAGGAACACTTTTTTTAAACTATATTTTCAATGAAATTTATACTTTTTGGAACTGTAAAAAAAGCGAAAAACTTGAAACTTGAATCAATTATTCAAATCATTCAGATGTTACCGGATGTTGAAATTGTAAAAATAAACACAAAAACTAAGGGCGTGTCAATATTTATGACGCATTATTCAGAGCGAATAAAATTTATTCAATCTCTTTTTTTGGAAGATTTTGAAAGAGCTTGCTGAAGTTGTAAATCTTCGGTTTCTAAGGCACTGAAAAGGCAGTTTCAATTCATTTCCAGGCTCTGAAAGAACAATTTTCGGTATATAATTTTTTTCTTCAGAAAAAAGTGACGTTTGCCATTTTTTTAGCCAGCCTTTCTTCTGCTTTCAATTCCTTCTTTTTGCGTTCTTTTTCAAGGAATTTCATACTTTTGGACCTGAAAAAAATGAAAACTTGAAACTTGAATCAATTATTCAAATAATTCAGATTTTACCAAATGTTGAAACTGTAAGAAAAATCACAAAACTAAGGGCGTGTCGATATTTATGACGCATTATTCAGAGCGAATTTTTTTAAAAAGTTTATTTGTTTTCACTTTTTTTGAAATTATTTTTTTCAATAAATTTTCACATTTTTTTGGAACTAAAAAGGCGAAAAACTTGAAAGTTGAATTGAATATTTCAGACGTGACGGGGGCCCATGTCAAGGGAGCCCAAAGTTTTCCGCTGAGCGAAATTTTGACGTCCAACGGCGTCAAATCCAAAGAAGACGTTGATGCTGGTTATTTTCAATCTTCTTTCGCAGTTTTTAAAATTTTTTTCAGTCATTGAATCGCATCAAATCTCTAAAGGAAAGCCAGTTATCGTGGTGTGCAACGGCGGAATTCAAGCCTCGGTTCTGTTTTTGGCCCTGAAAAGGAGTGGAATCGACGCCAAAGTGTACAATGTTCGTTGAGTTTTTGAAACTTCGAAATAACTGAAAAAACTCTAGTGGCCACTTAAGAAGTTTCTCTAGAAGTACTTGGAAAGAACACTGAAGGGGTCACAAAAATCATCTCTAATAGAAGCCCCTGTTTAGCGATTCAGTGGTCGCTACTTAGGAGCTTTTAAATTGGTCTCTATAGGGGTTAGGGGAGAAAACAGCCTCTATAGGGGCCAAAAAGGGGTTCTTATATGGATAAAATCGAGGTGGTCCCTATAGGGGTTTAGGCTCTGACCCCTTAGCCCCTAAAGCTTAAGTGGTCCCTATAGTGTTCGTTCGAACTCATTCAAAAAGGTAAAGTGGTCTCTAGAGGGGACCCTCGAAGGGTCCCTAACCTCCCCCTATAGGGACCACTCTGGAGCTCCTAAGTACAGAAGTTTTCCAGGGACTAGTAGTACCACTTAGACTTCTAAAATGGCCACTAAATTGACTACTATAGTGGCCACTACAATGTCAAAGCCCTAAAGTGGCCACTGACAACTTTCACAAAAAGTCCTGGATATGTTGAAAAAAATAGCGTTAGGTTTCTATCCTTCATTATTTGAATTCAATTTCTTTTTTTGACTGATTTTTTTATGATTACTTCGTTTTTTTATTGTCTTTCCCATTCTCGTTGAAAAAAATATGAACTTTCTGAAAAAAAGGGGTTTTGAAAAAAAATTAGAAAACTTATAGCCTCGATAAGAAGAAGCTTCAGCCAAAAAAATATTCATTTTGCTCCTTTTTTTAAATATTTAAATTTTCAAGCCTATAAATTCAATTTTTTTCTTCCACTTGTTTCACAAATTTTTTTCTAAAGAAAAATAATAGTTTTTCCAGGGAAGCATGTACGAATTGGTGAAACGAGCGCCAGAACTCATCAATTCCAAATAACTTTTTGACATTTTTCCAAACTCTGATGAAATAAAGTAGAGGATTTTCTGGTTTTGGAAGTTTATTTAACATGGAAGAGAGTGGAACAGGGTTTTGAGGATTTGTTATGCGAGAAAAAGAAGGGAATTATGAAAATTTGATTTTTCTGGAACAGTCAAAGTCAATCCAGTAGGTAACTGAAAATAGTATGGTTCAATTGAAAAAGGATTTTTTTCTGGGTATGGAAGATTTTTTAAAACATGAAAAACGATACTGGAACTGGATTACATGGGTAAATTATACAAGAAAAAAGGATGAATTCGGATTTTGAAGAAAAGAAGAAAATTGGAAGGTTTTGCAAATTAACAATATTATTAAAGTAAAAAAATGGTGAGGATTTGAAAAGGATAAATATGGAAAAATAAATATAAGATAAACATGGAAAAAAATGAGAAAAAATGGAATTCTCCAACAACAAATATATATAGGGATATTCAATGAAAAATGAATTTAAAAAAATTTTCTGTCGATTATTCAATTAATGAGGGCTATATAAAGGGAAACTTCTGAACTTCGGAAAAAATATATATTGAATGAAAAAGGAAAATTATTAATTTAGACTATGTAAAGTCCTCGGAAACTTTTGAGAAAAATATGAGAAGAATTTTTTTGTTGATCAATTCACTGCTAAATTGTCAAAAACGGTTACTGTAGTCCATTCAAGACCATTTTTCGGTTTTTTTTTACGGGTACCGAGATTTTCTGTGAGAAGCTAAAAAAAGCTTGAACAGGGATTTTTTGCGAAAAAAAATTCCCCGGGTTACCGTAGATCTTTTAATCGTTCCGGGACTCTTTTTAGAAAGACTAAGATCATTTTTTGTGAGAAAATTAGTGGGATCTCATCAAATTTTTCCTGTGGACCGTAGAATTAGACAGTTTTTTTCGACAAGTCAGCAGTGAACGGATCTTTTTTTTATTTTTTTTTCTTGCGCGATTAAATATTTAAAAGATGTTTCCTGTCTGAGATTAAAATATGCAGGAAAAGTAGACAAAGGAACATTTTAGAAATGGAAAGGGGGCCTTCCGAAAGGCAACTGGAGAGCTTGAGCGATCGCGCTGAACTGAGCCGATTGACCGGAGTTCTGGGGAGGTCCCTGGATGCGAATCAACCCGATGTTGATCTGAAAGTCGAGTTTGCAGTTACAGGACAAATTTCTTTTGAAATCTAGCTTATAAGGAAGCCAATGAGACGTAAGAAAAAGTGCTAGACATTCATGTATTTGAAGTACAGCAGAAAAAAAGTTACCGTAAGAATAAAATTTTTTTTTTCGTATCAGAATGTTGTATTTTCAGTTCCTTTTTTGAGGTCAGGATTATTTAATGTCTTTTTTTTTAATAGCGATTCGACACAGCGTTTTTTTTAGTGGAAGAAAATGCGAAGAAACCAAAAAAAGGTGGGTGGAGCCAAAATAACAGGGCATATTAAAGGCGCAGGTCACCTTAGTGCCAGAGGTCTTTTAGACGATTCGAAGTTTTTCTACAAAAACGCAATTTTCTGCGCGAAAGCGGCGCAGTACGTGCACACAAAACACGACACTTTACGGAGAAAAAGTGTGCGTGGCGACGTCGAAAAAACGCCGTGTCGAGTCATTTCTAACACCAAAAATGTAGTAAAATGGGTAGAATGGTCTGGAAGTTTTTTGACCTTAGGACATTTTTCAAATTTGACGCATTTTCAAGTAGTCGAAACACAAAATGGGCTTGTAAATGTCTCAAATTGATCAAAAACGGCAGAAAATCAAGCTAGGGTCATAATTTTATATGCTACTACTTCGATCTAGTTTATGAGTATCTTAGGTAAAGTAGAAAGTACCTTTTTCAGCCACTATTGGCACTTTTTGCCTCATTTTCACTTCTTCAGGCTCAAAAATCCGCGCAAAAGAGGTTCTGCGACTTTTTTCCTACACTTTTTGACACTTAGACCGTGCCAAAAATGAAAAAGACCTCGGTCGAGTAAAGCTTGGACACGACGTCGAAGTGAGTCTTGTAGGTAGGTTCCGGGAGACGGTCGTTGGCGCACAAAATCTCGAGAGCCTGCAAAAATTCCAAGCTTCATTTTGAACAGAGAACGTTCAGCTGCGTTCAAACTAGACAAGTAAATATCAATTTTCTTTCTGAACCTTTCATGGAAGCTCTAGCTTTTCTCTTTCTTCTGAACGTACCTTTTTGGGAGTGATGGGCTCCTGATGAAGCTGGGCCTGCCAGAAGGTCGTGAACATCTGATTGTAATAGTGCATGTAGACATCCGGGTTGAGGCCGAGCAACTGCAGCTGCTGGGCATTGAGAGGGTGGAACGGGTGGGGCATGGGAGCGATCGGGAGCTGCGGGGCGTGAGGCGGCAGGTTGAATGGCTGAGGGAAGATCAGAGGCGGCTGGGGAGCTGGCGGAGCTGGCTGAGCTGGAGGGGCTGGAGTAGCTGCAAGAGGTGGGAAAGCTGGGAGAGCCACAGGAGCTGGAGGAGCTGCAAAAGCTGGAAGAGCTACAGGAGCTGGAAGGGCCAGAGGAGCTGGAGACGCCGTTCCGGCCATGAAGTGAGCCAGAGGAACCGTGTTCTCTTCCTCGCTGAAAGTTTGGTCCTTATTTTGAGCTCTTTTGGCTTCTCAAGATCAACTACTGAACCCCGAAAAACAATTTCCAGAACTTTCCTTTTTATTGAAATTTTTAGTGGCCACTATAGAGGCTCGACAAGGATTACCTGGAGAGGACACTAAAGTGGCCACTAAACCCACCTCTATAGTGGTCTCTATTTTCCGTTTTAGTGGCCACTCCAGTAGTTTTTCATCCAATATTCCTTCCAGTAATTCTGATAATTTTAAAACAAACAGATTGGACCAGTTATGTTGATCCATTGACCTCTAAAGTGGCCACCAAAATTTATAGTGGTCTGGTAGTAGCACTTAGATCTCTATAGTGGTCACTAATTTTCAGCCCCTTAAGTGGCCACAAGTTTGACTACTATGGTGGCCACTAAAACGTCAAATCCCTATAGTGGCCACTAAAAATTTTCCCAGAATTACTTCTGTTGTCGCCCTCAACACCTCAAAAGCCTTACTCTTTCGATGAATTTCAAAAATTCTAAAAACTTCTAGACGAACCTCGTGAAAGCTTTATGATAACTAATACGCGGCCGCGAGAAGCGAATGTTCAAAGGGACATTTTTCTGGAAAAAGAAGCTTCGTAAATGTTATCACTTCACGAATCTCACATAGTCAGTCCCCGAGAACTTGGCCACGAGTTCCTCAGCCTTGGCCCTCTCGGTGCAGTTGATGAACGCGTAGTTGCGTCCGAGGATGCAGGACGCGATTCCCTAGAACACTTATGTCATCCTTGATCAGAAATAATGAGAGGAAAACCGCTTCGACACCGCCAAAGTGCTCAGTGAGCTCAACGGTGGTAGTTGTCTCGGAGAAAACGCCACGGATGTGAAGACTACAGCTCTGGAATTCGGATAAATCAAAACTCTGTCTCGAAATTATCCAAAATGAACTAAAATAAGGCATCGGAGCTTGGAAAAGGGCCGATTGAAACAAAAAATGGATATTTTTTTTTTCGTCAAAAGGGAAGTTAGAAGGTTGTCCAGAGATTTAAAAAAAAAAGTCTGATCAAAAAAATGTTGAATTATAGCCCATTCACGGCTGGCTTGAGCCATCGAAAACAAGGGTCCTGACACGATAATGCACGATATAGCGCCTGGCTCGTGGAGAGCGCAGACAGGAAACGCCCCCTTAAGGTCCCAAGCTTCCTTAGGGTCCCAAGCTGGCCGTGAATCAGCTATAACTGTTTTAAGTTTGGAGAATTACCAAAAGAACCATGAAATTTTCGTTTTCAAGTGAACTGTGAATGGGTCTAGGGCCGAAAAAAACCTAAATTTTCCGTCTAACCTTAAAAATTGTTGACTTTTGTGGCTACAAGCTTCCTCAAGAGGTTCCAGAAAGGTCTGAATCAAAAAAACCTGTCTCATGAGCTCCTCGGAAGGCTCCAACTCGCGCAGGGCTGGCCCAATGAACAGCCGGTTTCCGAAAGCCTAAGAAAGGAAAATTATCCGAAAAATGAATTTTTCATGAAATCATGGGAAAAAATCAATGAATCAATCAATGAGGAATCTGACAGTCCACCACAAGTTACCCATGTAAAATTACCTTTTTTGAAGGCTCATTTGTGCCTAAAAAGTTGTAGATGATGAATAAGTGGGCTAAAATCGATTAGAGAAGTATAAAAAGTTGGATTTTTAGGCTAGAAATTATCTGGTCACGCCTTGAGTACAGTTTTTTCGTTTCGGTGTGCTGGAAAAGCCCAAAAATTGGCATGAAAAACTAAATTCTCAGCTTCTGCGCCTTTAATAAGATTTTTGTCTTCTACGCCTGTAATAAGCTTTCTAGACTTTTGCGCCTTTAATATGCTTTTTTTCTTCTGCGCCTTCAATAAGTTATTGTCTTCTATTATGAACTTGCTAATCTTCTGTTCCTTTAATAAGCCCTTTTTGCCGTATGCGCCTTTAATAAGATTTTTTTTTGACTTTTCTCCTCAATTGGCTTTGAAAGCTGCTCTGAATGAACTATGAAGAAATGGCACTTTAAAGGCGCAGCTAGAGGGCGTGGCTTACTTTAACACCTATCATGAGAAGCTGTTTTGGAATTTCAAGACGTACTACTGTAACTGTGACCGCAAAATTGAAGATAAAATCTTCCTATGCTCCTTTAAACAGTGAGAAAAAGTGATTATTATTTTCCTACAGTAACCACAGTAAGACCTCAGTCGAGCCGAGCATTCTCTGGCCGGCTTCGGCTTCCTGTTCGCTCTGGAACTGGACGAAGGCGTAGCCGCGGTTTCTCTCCTGATTGTCAGCCATCAGAATCTCCACCTCGATCCTCAGAGGAGTGCAAGCTCTGTTCAGAAGTTCCTAAAATGGATAATTATTGGATGAGCGTCAGTCAGAAAAGGCTTTATGATTCGAAATTTCACCCACAGAAGTGGTTTTTTTTGCACCCTGGGTCTTGATGAACAGCTCGAAAATTTAAAAAAAGTATCAGAAAAGTTTTAGAAGACGGTATGAAACCATTTTTTGAGTTTGAATCTTATTTCTACAAGATTCTGAATTTTGAGAAGGATAGACAAAGTTTGAAAAGTGATGAAGAGAAAATCTCCATCCACCTCAACTTGGTCGCACGTGGAATGGCTCGAGACTACGATTCTCTAGCCGCAACGCGACCGCGACGCTTAGAGCCGTTCTAGCCATTCCCCATGCGACCAAAAGTAGGAATATTAACCTTTTTTCAGTGGTCTACGAAAATCAAAAAAGGATCAAAAAAAAAGAGCCAAGAGAAAAATGCCCAGATCTTTAAGATTTGAAATGGGAAGATCTTGATAAACAAGGTGATTCATTGCCGAAGCATTCGACCATACTGTAGGCTCAGAATATTTTTTATTTCGCTTCAAGGAGTTTCTTAAAAACACGCTCGAAATGTCGTTACGGGAACTGGTGCGGAATAATTTTCTGTTTTCAAGTGAGTCATTAAAAACATGTTATGAAATGTTATCTTTGATCTTAAACTGTCTGATCGGTCTGCGCTCTCTTTTCCCTCGTCGGCTAGAAAAGAGGGCGCAGAGAAATGAGACGGTTGGAGAATAAATCATAATGTCAAGTGCAATGACGTCATTCAAAAACACTCTGTGGGTGGCTCGCTCTTTGATTGGTTTATCGCACCATTAGGGGCGGAGCTTGAGCGACGACATGACATTCAAAATCTGAACAGACTATATACTTGACTCATTGAATAATTTGTTTAAACTCGAGAAAGAAAGGCTCATTTGATAGTATAGTCTATTCAAAGCTGGTCGCATGGAGAATGGCTTGAAACGCTCTGCGATTCTTGCTAGTGTCTCAAAAAATGTTCAAACCATCATTTAAATTTTTCCTAGAACGAATATCACGTGTCTGGACGCCCACTCAGATCCAAAAAGTCCAAAAACAAGGAAGAATATGATTCATCGTCTGTCGCCCGATCTAATGGGATACGGTGAGAGCTGCGCGAAATGTCACGGTGACGCATCGATCGTGCAATGTTTCGCAGTTATGCCGATTTTGTGAACTTTTCATTTATCTGAGCCAAAAATATAGGCTACTGAAAATCGTCACAGAAAAGAAGTGATTTTTGACTTCTTGAGCGATCCCTAGAGGGCACTTGAAGATTTCCCTCTAGAGACCTTACTCAGTGACCCTATAGGGGGCACTGAGCTTGATTAAAATACCACTTTAGAGGTTTTATGGCCATTTTCATTTGTCTGAGCCAAAAATAAAATCTACCGAGAACTACTTCCAAATAATAGGCTCTTTCGCATAAGAAAAGAAACAACTTTTGACTTCTTGAGTGACCCCTAAAGGGGCTCTCGAAGGTTTCCCTCTAGAGACCTTACTCACGGACTTCTATAGGGGCACTGAAGCTTGATAAAGTGACCACTCTAGGGATTTTATGGTCATTTTTGTTTTGTGGCATTTTCAATTATCTGAGCCAAAAATAGGATCTACTGGAAACCGTCACAGGAAAGAAGTGGTTTTTGACTTCTTGAGTGATCACTAGAGGGGACCTTGAAGGTTTGCCTCTAGAGAATACCTCACTGACCACTATAGGGTCCCTGAAGCTGACAAAAGTGGCCCCTTAACGGCTTCAGTTTAGGCTATTTCTATTGCTCGTTTTCATGCAGAAAAAATAGTAAAAGATGATTAATCGAATCGATCAAGTCTACAGGTCTTTTTCACTTTTATCAGAAAAGAAAAAAGTTAAAAGATCTCTTAATGAGCCACACAAGCTCTAAGGGTCAGACTGGAAGCCCTTATAGCCCTACTTTGTCCTCTATAAGGAATTTCTTTTACCTGACCCCTCTAGGGACCATTCTGGCGTTCCAAAAGAGTAAAACTTCGAAAAAGATTTACCTATGAGGTATAGTATAACTAAAATATTCTAAAAATGTTGTTTTGAAGAGAGAAAATGACAAGAATGCGATGGATACCGATGAGCAGAAGGTAGACAACAATTTATGCCGTTTTACTAGGAAAGGCTTCGGAATATTCCAAGTGCAGGTACACTAATGAGGCGACATCATTAGTTGACTATATATTGTGCGCCAAAAATATCGACACCAAGTTGGACTTTTGATTAAAGATTCCTTTTTGGTGCTGGTTTCAAATCTGAGCTTCAAAATTGTCAAGGTGATCTGAGAGAGGAGTTATTAACGCTAAAAAAGGAACTTGTTAAAGAAAAGGCTATTTTGAAGCGGCAAGTCTGAAAAGATCCATTTTTTGGCTTGATTATTCGTTTCTTGATTTCCTAGTAAACAGAAGTTTCCGAAAAATCAACAATTTTTGGAAAAATAGGTTCCTTATCGTAAACTGAAACTTTTTTTGATGTACGGTGAGTCTCAAGGCGGATAAATATATAAGGACTACGACTTTTTTGGAGAAAACTCTAGAAAAGTGGCAAGAAATCGAAAGTTGGCCGCAAAAATAAGCCAAATGTCCGATCCGCCTTTGTTTATCCCATCGGCCTGTCTTTTGTCGGAAGAAACAATAGGGCACATGTGCAAAAGCGGCCTTTCTACTGTTTAGAAACTTCTTGCCAAAGTCGAAAAATCGTAGAAACTTTGGGAGAACTATGAGCAAAACAATAGAAGAAAATAAACTATCCCGAGTTTTCTAGCCCTTTTTTGAACAGATATAAATAGAGAAGAAATATTGGAATTATTCCATTTTCTGGCAGACAGGAAGATTTTTTTATCGAAAATATTTTTTTATTTTTGGCCCTTGAGGCGCCTCAAAAATACTATGATAACTGTGGGAAATCGCCAAATTTCGTTTTTTTTTTCGACTCACAAGGAGGTTATTTTACTTGGGAATTTCCTGAAATTCGGCCAGAACACTCCTTGATGTATCAGAAGAAAAATCTGTAAGCCTCAACCTGCCTAACTTTCTAGTTTTCAAGAAATGAGCGCTCGAAGCCCATTTTAACGGATTTTCAGTATTTTCTTGGACTTCAAGGCGTCCTTTCTCAAAAACTAGGAAGTTTTTCAGGTTAAGACTTTCAGGGTCTTCATCTGATAAATTAAAAAGTGTTTTGACCGATTTTCAGAGCGCAAAGGAAAATAAGTTTCCTTGTAAGTTGATTTTGTATCAAATTTTCCTTTTCCTTTTAAAAAATATACCTGAACTTGGCGTTGCGACATCCTCCTTGGAAGTTTCCCGACGTACAGCCGGTTAGCGCAAGTTCTAGCTCTCACCATTTCTGAAAAATGAAAGAAATCGAAGGGAAATTCAATAAATCTAAGAAATCAATGTGGAATCTGGTTAACAGTGGGAAAATGACAGTTTTTGCAAAGGAAATGGCTTTGAAAGCAAAAATAATTCGGGAGCTATCCTAAAATGAGAAAGGACTAAAAATGTGACAATTGATATCGGAGGAAAATCTGCGAGGCGGGCCGCATTAGTCATTTTTCGAATGATTGGCCGCCGGTCACGAGGAAAAAAAACTTTTTTTTTGTCTGATCCGTCCAAAAATAATCTTTTTACATAATGATGAAATCGAAGATTGTTTTTATGGAACTTCGCGGAAAGATATTGTTTTTCCTGCAATATCTTAAAATCACCGCTTGATCTTTGATTTCAACAAAGGCGAAACTGTTAAATAATGACTGTTGAAACACATGAAAAGGCTGGAAAACTATAGAAAAAGAAAAAGAAGAAGCCAACTTGCTCTGCATGGAAAACGGAAAATTGGCCTTGCGTGACATCCAAGATTATGCGCACCTGGGCCATCGAACATCGAGAATTTCGGCTCCTCAAATCATCAATTATACATATTACCTGTTGAAGTCCAACTTCTTTTTGAAAAAAACGTAATTAACTTCCTTCTATTTCATACTTACTGACCTATATTCGAAAAAAAAAGTGATAATATAATCAAATAAACGCCTCCTCTTCAATACTATTCGATTCTCCTCATTATTTCACTTCATTTCAAGGTGCAATTAACATTTATTTCGCTTGAAACAAGCATTTTAATGAAATACCGTAATCGTGTCGATTTACGCAAACCACGCCCATTTTTGCAAGGGCGCGGTTATTAGAATCCTGGTCGCGCACTTTTCTCAAAATTCTTTTTCACTTTTTTAAAAAAGTTTTTACTGATTTATTTCGAACCATAGAAAGATAAAAATGATGGGCAAAAATAGAGCACTTCGATAGCCGTAATCTGAAAGTTGTCACAACATGGTAGGTCAGAAAACACCGTTAAATTTAGCTCGTTAAATATATTTAATATATAAAGCTTAATCGTTCTTTCTCCCAAGTTATTTTTATTTTTGAGACATTCCGGATAATTTCCCCCTGTTTCTTTTTCTTTCCATTTTTTTTTTCCCACTTTTTCATGATTTTATTCCAGGAAAAATGGACGATTCGGCGCCTTCTCCGCCAATGGGAGCCTCCATTGAAACAACGAAACGAAAAGTGGCCCATTCCGATGAACACGGATTTTCTGGTTATTGAAAAGATTTTTTTTATGGACAGTAGTTGATATTTTTCAGATCAAGTACGGATTCCGAACGTGATTGTAATGGTTGGCCTTCCGGCTAGAGGCAAAACTTACATATCGAAGAAGCTTTGTCGCTACCTCCAATGGACCGGTTTTAGGACGAAAGGTTCATTTATAATAAGAAAGCGTTTATTATCGTATTTTTGAATGAATTTTCAGTTTTCAACGTTGGAGAATACCGAAGAACTGACGCCACGGCTTCAGACGCCGTCCATGGAGCGAACGCCTCGTTTTTCTCGCCTGATAATGCTGAGGCGCTTCGTGTCAGGGCGTTCGTTAGCTTTGAATTTTTTCTTTGAGCTCATTTCTTTGTTGTAAAAAACCTTGACCGTTTGGCGAAGTTTGTTAGTCTTTTTCAGGACATCTTTGAGTACTCCAAAAACTGATTTTTTTTTTGTTCAACTTTTTTTATGGTAAAAGACTTTTTTTGAATCGTTTTTTTGGCTCCTTTTTCATTTTGAAACATTTATAATGTTATTCCTCTAATACTTAACTCAAAATCTTGATTTCAAGCTTTATATTTGATTTTGAAAATATTGAACTCTTTGTCAAGGTTGAAGAGACTTTCGAATGCACTTTGAAAGAAATTACGGAAAATGGTCTAAAAGTGCCCCGAAAACCCGCCAAAGCATCTTCCAAACTATTCTCCTCACCTTCTCATAGTAAATAGATCTTTTTGAATTTTTTTCGGCTTGTCCCTTTTTAACACCTTTCTTCTCTTGAAAAAAAAAAGCTCCCCTAAACTTTTCTTGACTCGCTCTTTCGAACAACTTCAACCTTTTGAAAAAGAAGCCATCCGACAGAAACAGGTAAAAAAAGGGTTACGGAAGCCTTTTCCTAAGTTATACTAAATGATTTATATTCATGAATTGACTGTCTTTTTCATATCCATTTTTCCAGTGAATCAGCTCGACGGGCGATGGAAGATATGGCCGAATATTTGCATTCCGGAGCCGGAAGCGTCGCCATTTTCGACGCTACCAATACGACGAAGCTCCGCCGGGCCACCATTATCAACTTCTGCGAGAAGAACAGGTTCATTTTTGTAGTTTTGATCTCTTTTTCGAGTTGAAAGGCATTTTTTAAAATGTTAATCAAAGGCTAGGATTTGTTATTTTTTTTTCGATAGTTTTCAACGCTTTAAAGGAAGTTTTTTTCTAGACTGCGCTGTTTTTTCATCGAATCGGTGTGTGATGACCCGCGGATCATTGACAGCAATGTGACGGATGTCAAGGTTTTATTATTTTTTGTTGATTTTCCAGAAATTGTACCTTATAGTAGTGCATTTGAAGGTTTTTGAATCAAAATTGTCATTGTTAGAAACTTCAGAGTGGTCCCTATAGGGGAGAAATGGAAGGTTCTCCTTTAGTGACTACTTGACTCTTCCCTATTGGAACCATGCGAAAAAACTGAAGATATTTGTTAAATATTAAAAAAACAACAATAGGGGATGTATTTATCAATTATTTTTTTAAACATAAAATCGACAGGTCCTATAGGGACCACTTAAGCTTTATGCGCTTGGAGTCAGACCCTAAACCCCTATAGGGACCACCTAAATTTAATCCCTGGAAGGGCTCTTTTTACCTCTTAAAGGGGCTCTTCTCTAACCACTATAAGGACCACTTTGGGGTTTTAAGTTTCGTGAAATGAAAATTGAGGGAACCTTCTAGAAAAATGGTTACAAAAACAGGAAAATGATCACTTAAGGGAAGAAAAATTTTGAGAAACTTTCTGAGGTTTTGTATTATCTTTTAATGATTTTAAAGCAAATAAATTCGAAATTTTCCCACTTTTATGCGATTTTGTAGGCTGAGAGTGTTGAATAAAAAGAGAAAAAGGGGTATTTCCTTTCGTAAATTCATTTACGGTGCGTAAATTTTTTTATGTATATAGATAAATTCGCCGGACTACAAAGGTCTGATGACGGCGGAACAGGCAAAAGACGATTTCATGCGCCGGATCGAGAATTACAAAAAGCAGTACGAGCCGTTGGAAGAAGACGAAACTCCCGAAGGCCTCAGCTTCATAAAGGTGCCTCTTAAGGGGAAAATATTGAGTGATTCATGGAAATCCAGGTGATCAACGCCGGCCGCTCCTTCATGGTCCATCAGGTGAAGGGCCACGTTCAAAGTCGCGTCGTTTATTTCCTGATGAACATCCATTTACTGCCAAGGAGTATTTACTTGACCAGAGTTGGTGGTTTTTGTTTAAAAAAGGATCTTCAAAGGGTTTTTTTGGAGTTTTGTTGGTCAAATCGTGTCTTGAACCGCAGCGAAATTTATTAAAAATAACAAAAATTCAGTTTTGAAGCGAATTATGTAACACCTGATCATAACAGAAAGGAAAAAAGCGATGATCTTTGAAGAAATCTGGGAAAAAATCTGATTTTTATGCAAAGATTCTCAATAAATCGGTTCAAAAAAACGAGTTTCATTTGATTTTTTTAGTTTTATTTAATCTAAGATAATTAACTTCAAGAGATATTTTTTTCAAAAATGTGTTAGTTTAGGGCTAAATTTCTACCATTTTTTCTCCGTCTAGTGGAATTATACCGCCCAAATATTCTAATTTTTCAAGCAAACTTTGAGGAAAATGTCAAAAAAAAAGCTTCAAAATTCCAGCATGGCCAGAGCGAGTACAACTCGATGCAGAGGCTCGGCGGCGACTCTCCGCTCACCGAAAAAGGCCAAAAATACGCGGCCGCTTTGGCCGACTTTTTCGAGAAGGAGCCCGTCGACGGACTGCGCGTTTGGTGTTCTCAGAAGGTTTGGAGATCGAGAAAAAATATTTGGGAGAAGTGAAAAAGTTGATGAAAACAATAGGTTTGATTAATTGAACTTTGAGTGTCTTAGGAGCTCCAGGGTGGACCCTATAGTGACCAGCCACTAAAACTTGTAGGGAGGCATTTTTTGTCCTGGTTAGAAGCTGTTTTCATCCCTGATCCCTAAAGGAGTCACTCTGACGTTCCTAAGGAGGTATAAAAACGCCCTAACGAGAAATTTACAGTGATAGAAGAATCGTGTGGAAAGGACGAAATTTTAAAAAGTGCGGAAAAGAGGGCACTATAGGGAAAAGATAGGCAATGGGAGAACATTTTAAAAAATGTGCGAGGGTAGGAATTTATTATAATAGGGAAAAAAACTTAGAATTAAAAAAATGAGACTCAGAAAAAAAAAGTGAAGGTATTGTCATATGACGTCAAAGTTTACTGGCCATTTCTTTACCGTTGTCGAGTTACGGTAGTTCTGCGTATCTTAGTAATTTCCTGACCAATCTGTGAGAAAATAGATGGATAACGCGATGAACCTTCTAAGCAGATACTGTCTCTAGTTACTGTAGAAACTTTTTTAGATACGGTACATTTTGTTTTTGCGAATCGAAAGGTTTGAAAATTGGAAAGAAGACGTAGGAAACACATGTCCTCCAATAGGAAAAACAACTCGAAGAAAATTCAAAATATATTAATTTGAATCGATTTTTCTTTAAATACATAAAAATTACTTGAACCGGTAGACTGTGAAGTACATAACTTGATATACTCGAGAAACTTTGAGAATTTTTGAAGATATTGGAAAAAATATGGAGATCAAAAGTATCGGAAATTGTAAAGGAAATTGTTTAGGTAAGGTCTTTTTTTAGGTGAGAGCCGCCCAAACAGCGCAGCAATTGAAGAACTCGGCCTTTCACACGGAATATTGGAAAGCTTTGGACGAAATCGACGCCGGGATCTGTGAAGGGCTCACTTATGAGGATATTCAGCAAAGGTCTGAGGGGAAGGAAATCGATAGAACTTGAAAAATCTTGAGAAGAAGTTGAGCTTTATCAAAGGTCCCCAAAAAGGCGAAAAGGCTTTTTTCGGCCTTTCTAGAAGATATAGTTTGTACCAGTTTTGAACGTCAAATAGAATGACGTCATTAGCTCTCTGATTGGTTTATTGCGCCATTTGGGGGCGGAGCTTGAGTGATTCTTTTATTCTGAACAGACTATACTGTTAAAAAAATCTGATTTTTTTAGCTTCTAGCATAGTTTTTCTATAGAAAGCCATGAAAAATGAGCCAATTCACGGCTGGCTTGAGCCATCGAAAAAAAGGGTCCTGACACGATAAGAAAAGAAATAGTGCGTTTTTAGTGGAGAGCGCAGACCACGGCTAACTTGTAACCTAAGGGGCGTGGCACTGTCTGCGCTCTCGAAAAAGGCACTTTTTCTTTTAGTGTCAAGACCCTTTTTTAAATGGCTCAGCCCTGAATCAACTGCAACTTGGTGAAGAAGTAGAAAATAATTTCCTCCAGATACCCGAACCAAGCGGAGGACCGAGCCCGGGACAAGTACCATTATCGGTATCCGTCCGGAGAATCTTATGAAGACGTCGTTTCGCGCCTGGAACCTGTTATTATGGAGCTGGAGAGACAGGTTAATCATTTTCAGGGAACTCGAAAGTTTTAAAAGAAAAAAATTTAATAAAATGCGGGTTTTAAAATCGAATTTCGAAAAAAAAAAAAAAATCTCGGAATCGCATTTTATATTATTGACTTGAAGTATATCAAATCAACAAATTAATGTTCAAAAACCAGTCATACACAATAAATGTGTAGTGAGAAACGTATTGTATGTTGGAAAATTAGGAATGAAAAAAAAAATGCATTTTATAGTCTGTTTTTCGCAGGTTGAAATTTCTCTGCACCCTCCTCGTCTCTAGGTGACGCTCTCATATTTATGTGTTGTTTTCATGTTTCTCTGACCCAAACGACGAGGGAAAAGAGACGCAGACACTCGAAAACTGCCAAGTCATGGCTGACATTTTTGGCAAAGCTTCTAGATAAAATAAAGAAAATGACGCTGAAATTGCGCTTCATGGATAACTAAAAAGGAATTTTTGAAATGTTTAATTTGAGGTTTTATGAGCAAATAGTATTTTTCAAGTTGAATATTTCAATCTTGAAACTTTTTGAGCTTGTGATATAATATTGCCAGTCGAAACTAAGGGTACAGTTCTATGCTTTTTCTTCTGAAAATGTTATTTTTTTGAAGGTACTCTCCTAAAGAATTTCAAGTAATCTTCATTTATCCCCCAGTGAGACATTCTTTCCATAATTAAAACGGAAATTATCAGCTTTTCAATATTATTCCTTCTCAGGCCAACGTGCTCGTAGTGTCGCACCAAGCCGTTCTCCGGTGTATCCTGGCCTATTTCTATGATTTGCCACTCTCTGGCCTTCCCTACATCGAAACGCCGCTTCACTCTCTGGTCAAACTCACCCCGAGGGCTTATCATTGCGATTCTACCGTCTACACCTACGATTTTGAGAAGAAGAAGGTGATCAATAATAATTAGGGTTTTTTCGGAATGTCGCATTGAAGGAAGGAGTACCGAGAAGATAGAACAACTATTATTAAAAAAAAAGAAAAGGAAAAACTGTCTGATTTTAAAAATTTTCATTTTGTCGGTACCCAAGTCCTCCTTCAGGAGTTTCATCTTTTTTTCAGAAAGTAATTTTTTTGAGAATAAATACAAGCTTTTTTTAATATATAGGAGCCTTCTGAGCATTTTCCCGCAGTGACTATAACTACGACTTGGAAAACCGTGGTCGCATGGGAAATGAATCGAAGCGAGGCGGTCGCGTCTCAAAAGCGAATTTTAGCAATCTGATTCCGAAGTTTTATGATGCCACCGCGCGCAAGTAGTTTTGAGTCGGGCGCAAAAGCTTAAACGTCATTCCATGTGCCCCCAAGCGAAGAAGAAATGAAATATCCATTTTCAGTGGAGCAGCGAAAGCAAGCAACTCCCGGTAAGCGATGATCCTCGCGATTAAGATGGAACATCGAGAATATCAATGAGAAAAGTAACGAAACACGAGCTAGACCTACTTAGAACGCTTTGTTGCCTAGTCTGAGCAATCTTGTAGATTTTTCCCCCCAGCTTGAAAGCTTTTATTAACGGTTACTCTCACTGCAATTGTTATTTTTATCACTTGTATGTATTTTTTTCTTACTTGGAAAATTCCTCTATGAAAGAAAAGAGAAATTGAAACCCGATGGCCCCGAAAAAAGACTGTTTCGAAATCTACCTGAAAAGGTGTGCGTAATGAGTCACCGAACCGTTGGTTAATTCGATTCGAATCAGCAAAGGCCCACGCCCTGACCAAATCTCACAAGGCTATTATTTATTTCATTTTTCAGCACCTGATCCGATGGGTTATGTCATTTTTTACGTTTCGGGAAGGTTAGGTTGAAAAAGCTTGAAGACAGTCAAAAAATGCCCAAATTTTCATTCTCCAGGTGAAAATGTGTTATTGGGTAGGCTATTTTTTAAATTATTAATCTTTTTTCGACTTTTTTCGCGGATATAATAACCTTTAATCCCAGTCAGACCTTTAGAAAATGAAAAAAAAAAGAAAGGAAAGTTGAAATACCGAAAAACTCTAGTGCCCGCTTGAGGGGTTTCACAAGAGCTACTAGGAGAGAACACTGAAATGGCCACTTAAACCACCTCTATAGAAGCCACTATAGTAGTTTTTAGAGGTCTAGTTTTACGATTTAGACCTTTAAGAGGTCACTAAATCGGTGGTATGAAAAAAACGCCAGCGAAAATTCAAACGGCGACTTTTCCGATTTTTTCATATCGCTAGAGAACTTTCCGACGGCCACTTTTCCGACGGATCCCTTTCCGACTTTTTTCCCTTATAGTTTTTCGGTTTATAAAACATCTATTAACATTTTTTTTCCTATTTCTTTGTGTTTTAATCATCAACCAACTACCTACTTTATGTAGGAATATTTAAAACGAAGATTTTTATCGAGAAAAAAAGTCGGAAAAAAAGATTCGTCGGAAAGGTGGTCGTCGGAAAGTTCACTAGCGATACGAAAAAATCGGAAAAGTCGTCGTTTGAATTTTCGCTGGTGTTTTTTTCATACCACCACTAAATCTTAGCCCCTTAAGTGGCCACTAATTATACCGCTATAGTTGCCCCTAGAATGTCAGGCCACTAAAATTTTCCCAGTGGTTCGAAGGTCGCACTTAGAAACTTTTCCTAGAGATTTTCCTGCGATCGCGACTGAAAAATCTCTAAAATTCTAGTTTTTCAATCTTTTTACCTGGATAGGATCATTACTAAACTATTAAGGACCTTGATACCTGGAAAATGGGAATTGCAACGGAACTTGACATAACTTATCAGAGGCCCAACCCAACAAATCATCAATCAAACGTTTTCCATCATTGATTTATGAATGTGTTTCTCTTTTCTTCTCCCTCCACCCGGTTCTTGTTCTATTTTATGAAAACCCAAATTTTTCCTGTTCACATTCGTTTTCGTGTCAATATTCCTGCAGAGTCGAATAAAAGGGCATACGTGTATATCAAGTTGAATTAGCTGAAATTTATGGTGATTGGCGTGGGGCGTTTTCTCCCTTTTTCGGAAAGAAAGGCGTTTTTTTTCACTTTTTGAATAGAGTCTGACATCTGTGAGAACATATGATTTTTTCTGTGAGCTTTTTAGTTTTTTCAAAATGTGCTCTATTTTTTTAAAAAAAATGGTAATTTTTAGATCTAGAAGCAAGTAAGAATTTTAAAAAAAGCCTATTTTTTTCAGTAAAATTTCATAGAAAATTCTGGTAATGGAAGTTTAAAATTTGAGATTTTTTTAAAAAAAGTTCAGCTCAACGAATTTCTTATCCTTTTTGGTTTAAAAGCGCTTTTAAATCCAGAAATTTTTTTGAATTTTTTTCTTCCGAAAAAAATGACCTAAAAGGAGATTTTTTTCAAAATTAATTTTTTACTTTTTTTCTCAAAATAATTGCCCAAAGATCCGATTTTTCAACCCTTTTTTTCATTTTTTTAAAGAAATAAACAATCCAGGCTTCAAAATACAAAAATAACAAAAAATACGTTGAACCGAAAAAAAAATCCGTTTTTTTGGCGCCCAACAACCTCATCTTCGTTTGACCGATTGCCCTACTACAACTTGTTTTCGATTTTTTTTTCCCATTTCTCTTTTTCTGTACTTTCGATGTTCGATTTCTCGTTTTTGCAGTTGTCGCAACATATTTTGGAGCACTTTTTCCGGTTTTTCTACCCCACGATTTGCTGGGAAACGTCTTTATTTGTCGAATTTCGAAGCAAATATAACCTTTTTGGGGCGATTTGGTCGATGTTTTTTTGCTTTAATTTTTTGTCATTTTGTTTTTTTTTTTGGGCTCTGATTCATTTATATTGCCGTGTTCAAAGTAATTTCCGCGAAATGCGAAATTGTCTCTGACCCTCCAAAATTTTGTTATCTTTCTCTTTCTCTGACGGCTATTTTGAATTTCGCGGAATCACTTTGAACACGGCATATGAGTTCTGGGGGAGATTTGAAGGCTAATCGCCTTGAGACCTTCATAAATATTGTATATATGCTCCTTTGACTTCGCGGCGAAGTTGAAAATCGAAAAAATGTTCTTTTTTGGAATTTTCAGAAATTCCTATTGATTTTTTCGATAAAAAAGTGGTTTTAATATTCATTTTATTTAAGTGCTTAGTTATTCTGGAAAAAAATCTTATAATATTCCCACAATTTGTCCTTTCAATGCACTCCCGTCCTTGTGAAAACTTGACAAAACGCCTTTTTTCCTCTTTTTTTTTCTCTTTCCGATCCGAAAATTGAGCCATTTTGCCCGAGAAGATTGATTCTAATATTTACACGTTTTTTCCGTGTCGCCACAACTGTTTGCCTTTGCTGATGATGCCCCACAAAGTCGCAAACTTTTCCACGTTTTCCTCTTTTTTATCCGAGAAGATTTCCTGTTTTTGAAAATGTTTTCTATTTTTCCTCATTTTTTAATGTTGATTCGAGGAGCTGATTTCTGTGCTTTTGAAGAAATAATCGTATATTACTTTTAAATTCAGCGATTTCAGTAAGGTTTTTGAATTAAATGAACTCTTCCAAGTAGCTCAGTGAAAAAATAGCCTGGAAAAAGTGTGTTTTTTTATCAACATGTGCGCTCCACGGGCAAATCCTGCAGATTTTCACTAATTTCTGAACTTTTTTTTCTTCTTTTTTCCACGGTCTTCTGAGAATTTTGAAATGATTCTATTGGCTTAAAGAAGGTTTGAAGTGACTACTTTAGGGATCATCGATTTCCAATACTCTGAGGAGTCGAGAAAGCTGGAAAACCCTAAAGAGGCCACTGCAGTTCTTTCTCGTTTTTGTCCAAAAAATGAATGCTTTTCTGGTGAAACTTGAAATGGCCGCTCGCCAAGGACTACTTGGAGAGGACACTAAAGTGGCCACTAAACCCACCTCTACAGTGTCCACTATTTTCCGTATTTTTCGTTTTAGTGGCCACTTCAGTTTTTTTTCATTCAGTACTCCTTCCAGTAACTCTGATAATTTTGAAAAAAAACATATTGAACCAGTTATGTTCATCTATTGACCCCTAAAGTGGCCACTAAAATTTTGAGTGGTCGTGTAGTAGCACTTAGACCTCTATAGTGGCCACTAATTTTCAGCCCCTTAAGTGGCCACAAGTTTGACTACTATGGTGGCCACTAAAATCAAAACCCTATAGTGGCCACTAAAAAATTTTTCAGTTGGAATCATTTATTTGCAATATTCTTATGGAACAAGGGAGCTCAAAACCTTGAGGTGGTCACTCTAATTTTCGCGTTTTAGTCAGAAGAAGTTACCTCTTTAGGGAATATCAAATACCTTCTTCTCTTTGTCGATTTCAACACTCTGATGAAAAACCTTCGAGTACTTTACTACTCGTCATTATTTTCATTTCAAAGTGTTATCGGAGGAAAGTGGAGTAAAACAAGACATCGGATACTCGGCGCCGTTTTGCTACTCTCGCATTTCTTTCACGCAGCTTTTTCGTTTATTCTGTCCATGCTTTCGTGTTTCTTCTTCCAGATCTTTGAAAAATAAGGGTTTTCCGTAGTTTTATGTTGTAATAATAGATAAAATGTCGGAAAGGGTGGAAAAAGGCCGCATATAAATGTTCCTTTCAGGGTCCTTTTTGCTGCCTTTTTGCGCCATTTCATCAGCCTTTATGCACCATTTTTGCTGCCTCTTCATTTTTCCACCATTTCTTGACCTTTTAAAATCCCAGAATAATGGAAGGTTCCACAAAGGGACCCTTTTTGCTGCCTTTTCGCGACCTTTTTGCTGCCTTTCTGTAGCCTTTCTCGAGCCTCTCCTTTTTAGCGGCCATTATCCACTATCTAGACTTTGCATGAGACATACCTTGTAAAAAAATTTGGATAAAAAAAGAATTTCGTTAAAAAAATAGACGTGAATTTTTTTATTCATTTCAGACTTTTTCTGTCTTACTCTCTTTATTTGATCCGATTTCAAAATTGGTCTTGAAAAAAATCAGATTTTTTTCAATTAACTTTTTTTATTATAGTCTTGTTTTTGAGTTAGTAGATATTTTTCAATTACTGAGATATTCATTAATTTTTTTTCGCGTTTTTCTTAAATTTTTTCGAAGTCTCGGAAAAATTATCTCATTTTTTTGAAGGTTATAGCTCTCCTTTTTCTATTTTTTGGCTTTTTTCAAAGATTCTGTAGTTTTTTGCAGATTTCCTCCTAGCTTTATCTAATTTCCCCATTTTTTGCATCTCAGTGGATCCGATTGCAATGCGAATTCCTTCGAAAAAAGTTCCATCAACTGGTTTTTTTTCCAAATTTTGTTCCATTTCTCTATTTTTTTGTCAACCCCCGTTCCTTCTTGCCGTCGGGGATCCGATTGCAACGGCAATTTGGTCGAAAAAGGCCCGAAACAATCGGATGAAGGCATGGGATACTCGGCCGCCGGGGCCCATCCAAATTCGGTTTGGACCTCGGAAGTGGTATCGACGCCAGATTCCTCCTTTCCGTTTGTTCTTTTCGCCTTTGAACGCCTGATTGCAGGACGTTTCGCAACATTTTCACTCTCTCACTCGATTTGGGATTATCGGGGACGATTTCCATATTGTTTCGTGTGTTTGCCCAACACGGTTTTTACTATGTTTGTTTGCTCTTTTTTGGCAGTCTATCTGGTTTTTTGAGTTTGCAGCTTGTTGTAAATCTTTAAAAAATCAATATCTTTCCCAGATTTGCTAAATTGTCTCACAGAGATCATAAAACTGTGAAAAGCTAACCTCTAGGACGAAGAAAAAGCTCCTGAAAAACACTTGACTCTAGAAAAACATCCAAATGTGCTCCAAAATCACTAAAAATCACATTAGGAGCTCCTTTCGATTGAGATAACCGTGGAAAAACGTGCCCGAGAATTCTTGAAAACACTTTAGGAGCCCCTTGGCTTCAGAAAAGTGTCCAAATCTGTTTCTAAAAATCTAAAAACCACTTTAGAAGCCACTTGTCTTCAAAAAACTGCGTTAAAATACGCTACAAAAGCATTAAAAACACTTTAGGAGTCACTTTGCTTCAGAAAACCGCGTTAAAATTTGCTCCAATAGGCCAAAAAACACTTTAGGAGCCACTTGCTTTCAAAAACAGCGTTAAATGATGTGCTCTAAAATGACTAAAAATCACTTTAGGAGCCCCTTTGCTTCAAAAAACTACGTTCAAATGCGCTTCAAAAGAATTAAAAACACTTAAGAAGCCACTTCACTTCAAAAAACTGCGTCGAATATTTTCAAATGATCTCCAAAAGGTCTAGAATATATTTGAAAGAAAAAGCAACCTTTAGTAATCACTTAAGAAGATTTTAGAGTTCTCCAAAAAGCTCCTTCCGAAATTTCATGGAAAAAAACCTGAAGAGACCACTTGGAAGGGCTTTAGAAGCTCCTAGAGAGATCAAAAATTAATTTTTTTGTATCTCCGTTTTATTGAATTTCTTAAGATAATTTCCAAATTTAGTTCCAAAACGCCTGATTTCCTGTCCCTTCATGTTTGTACTCCTGAAAATTGGCTTTGTTTAGCGATTCTTGTATAAACAGCTTGAAAACGGCGGGATTTGCAGCAAAGAACGTGTGAATTTTCTTCCCTTTTTTTCAAATAATTATGTCAAGCGCGAGATTGGGAAACTTAAAATTTCATTGATGAGGTTTTTTGATTGTGAATAACCAAATTGGGAAGTTTTCTTCATTCTTAAAAACGCGTTTTGAAAATTTGACCGACTTATTCTTTTCAAATACCATGGTCGCACTTGGAATGGCTCAGAGAGTTCTGCAGAAAAGAGCTGAGACCATTTTTTCTATTTGAGAAGCCCTTGGTCGCACTTAGAATGGCTAGGCGCGGTGTGGATGCTTCCCGACGGTAGACGGTTTACGCCATGGTTTATCAAAAAACTTTGGTCGACTTATGAGGGGTTTAGTTTTCGAATGTCTGCGTCTCTCTGTTGCCTCACCAGCGAGGTCAGAGAGACAGGAAAATAGCACTTCAAAATGAGAGGGTCATCGAGAGACGAGGAGGGCGCAGAGAAGTTCCAAGCCGCGCAGAACGAACTCTAAACCTCTCTAAAGTGGACAGTTTGAAGTTTTTTGATGACTTGAAGCGTAAACAGTTTATCGTCGGGCGCGTTTTGAAGCATCGGCAACGCGCCTAGCCATTCTAAGTGCGACCAAGGGCTTCTCAAGTAGAAAAAATGGATCTCAGGTATTTTATTTTTGGGCCACTATAGAGGTTTTCTATTTAGTGGCCACTTCGGTAGTTTTTCATCCAGTATTCCTTCCAGTAACTGAGCAAATTAAAAAAAAAAGATTGCACCAGCTATATTGATCCATTGACCCTTAAAGTGGCCACTAAAATTTTTGGTCTAGTAGTAGCACTTAGACCTCTATAGTGACCACTAATTTTGAACCCCTTAAGTGCTCACTAATTTGACTACTATAGCGGCCACTAAAACGTCAAAGCCCTATAGTGACCACTAAACATTTTCCCAGTACTTGGAAAATAAATTTTCTCTGGACTCTAGTTTCAGCTCTCATTTAGGCCAAAACGAACTCATTAACGGAGCAAACTTTCTCCCATTTTCCAACACCCTCGAGAGCCGTAAACAGAACGATTTCCAACCCAAGAAAGAAGTTTTTTCATCTCTTTTCAGAAGAAAAAAGTTCAAAGAAACACTCGGTTTTCCGTCCTCATTCCATTCCAAACTCTTCTTCTTCTCAAAATGGGCTTCAGTCGTTTTTTCCTTCCTTTTTTGGCTTAGAATTGAATGCCTCTCGGGAGGCACCAAAAGAGAGAGGACACGGATTCGTCCCCCCTCTAAAAGCTCCAAGGAAGTTCTTCGTTTTTTGGTTGGGATTAGGTCGCACGGCTCATATTTCACATTTTTTTTTTGGTTTGTCTTTTCTGGAAGCAAAGTTTTCCATGTCGTTTGGGGGCCACGTAGTTTGAGGTCAATTTCGATCCGTTTCACTCAAAATTGAGCTCGAAATCGGGTACCAACCAGAAAAAAGTCCATGTCTTGAAAAATATTTTTTTGAATTCAGTTTTTTCGAAGGCGATTACGAAGTCTTTTGCAAAGCTGGGGAAAATTCAAGTGACCCCTATAGAGTTTTGAAGTTTTAGTGGTCACTATAGTGGTCCAATCAGTGCCCACTTGAGTGAAAAAAGATTAGTGACCTTTTTAGAAGTCTAAGCGCTGCTACTAGACCCCTAAAACTACTATAGTGGCCACTAAGACGCAAATAGTGGCTTCTATAGAGGTGGCTTTAGTAGCCCCTTTAGAGTTTTCTGCAAGTAGTCCCTAAGGAGCCTCTTAAGTGACCACTAGATTTTTTTCCAGAATTTCAAAGCAAAAAAACCGGAAGAACAGAACCTTCAGTTTTTCAGCTTCTTCTGTTGAATTATTGTTCTTCAATAGAAACATTTAAAGACCATAAATAGGTCGGAAGTTGAAAAATTAGAACTTGAACCCCACAAATTAGTCATCCTGCTGTAGAAGTTGGATAGGGATCTTTTTTTTAAATTGGGAGGGTCGTAAAAATTGGTTATCCGACTGTAGGATGACCAATTTTTGATTTTTTCTTTTTTGGATTTTTCATATTTCTCCTCCTTGTAGCATTCTCAAATCTTTGAAACCTAGTTCCTCTCATTTTGACGTGCTATTTTCATGATTTTGTGACCCCACCGGTGAGAGAGGAGAGAGCGCAGACAAGCTAGAACTTTTCAAGTGAACAGAGTATGAAAAAAAATCAAGTCTTTTTTTTTTTTTGCTTTATCTATAAAGATTTGACGTTTCCTTGAGCGATACTACTGCTGACCGGAGTTTAAACTATTTCGGAAATCATTTTTATTTTTCACTATTAAATCACAACCGAAAATTCAGCTTCTCCTTTCTCGAGTTCCCGAAAAATCCGTCAACTTTCATTTTTTTTCTTCTAAGCCGTTCCTTATGCAAAAAAGCTGCCAACTCTTGTTCCCTGCCACTTTTTTTTTTCTTTTTCTCTTCCCCTTTGAGCTCCAGAAAAGTTCCGTCAGGAGAGAAACATTCCGAATTCATGGAACGCAAGTCGAGTGATGGGACCGAAAAAGGAGGTTGTGAAAAGGATGGACTTATTGATAAAAAAACGTCCTGAATAAATTTTTTTATTTTTTTATTTTGAGAGAATCTTTTTAGGAACATTAAATCTATTTTTTTGGTGGAGAATTTTTCTGAAAAAAATGGTCCTGATTGTTCTTTGATATATCAGGTTAAGATACTTCGATTTTTGAAATTCGAAATTTTTTTCAATTTTTTTCAGGGAAGAAATTTAGAGAAACCCATAAAAAAATTCATGTAAATTTTCTTTAGGCTCTGTTTTAACAAAAAAATAAGCTTCAGGAAATTTTTTTCTGGCGCTTTAAAAAAAGCTATTAACCTGATTTCAGAAATAATTGACTTATTAGGGTCAGGGAAGTGAATTTTCAAAAATTTTAATCTCAAGAGAGGACCGAAAAATTATCTCATCCAAAATTGAGAATTATCCATGGAATAGAAAAGGATAGAAAAGGGGGGTGGAGAAAAAAATTTGAAAAATCGTTTTTTTCCGAAATTTTTTTCTAACTTTTTAAAAGTCGATTTTTGCTTCAAAATTGAGCTTCTGTGCAGTTTTATTGGAAATTCGAGAATAAACTCTGAAAAAAGAGCCTTTTTTCGATATATTTGCTGAATTTTTGAGCCGATTCTCCATGGAGCAACTTTACTGCAAAATTAAACGGGAAATCATTTTTTGCCATTTTCGAAGGACCTCGAACATTTCTGAGCACTTCTAGGGGCCGCTTAAGGGTTTTGACGCTGCTAAAGTGGTCACTAGGAAAAAATTGGACACGACCGGTTCGAGATAGAAATTTCGTCTAGATCAGTATTGACCTTGTGATTCATAATTCGTAACTTCTGCTAGTCATGAAAAAGAAAATAATTTCTAAGAAGATCCCCAAAAGAGAGGAGGATCAAACGACGGACGGACGGGGGGAAAAGGCGGCAAAAGAGACGATTCATTTATAAACGGACGGCATGAAGGAAGGTCCCAGCGGGTCTTCTCCGGGCTTGACCTCGGTGACGTCTGTCGCCAAAACGGTCCGTCAGCTGCAGCGGGCGGCTTCTCGCCCATGGATCGATGGACGGATGCGTGCGCCCGGGCCATGGAACGTCTCCTTCCTGACGTCTCTGCGTCCCTCTCGCCACGGCTTCTTCTCCCCCTTCTGCAGCAGGACCACTCCTCTTTCCTGCGACCTCTTCAATTTCTCATTCGAGAGCCAGGCCCCGCCTCCCCATTTCGGTTTGTCCTTTTCGTGTCGAGATCCGTCGAGCCCTTTTTTATTGTTGTTTTCAAGCTTTTGAACCCTTTTCGAAGAGTTTGAATCTTCTCGGACCTTGGTAAGGCAAATCGCAAGTTCCTAGTGACTACTTTAGTAGCCTCAGCACTCTTAAGTGATCCCTAGAATCGCCCAGAAACGTCCGGAGCACGTCCGATTTGCGTTACCAATGTCCGAGTTCCTAAACTTTTGGATTGATGGGATAAAAATTTCAAAATGATGTTTTTTGGGTGGTATGAAAAAAACACCAGCGAAAATTCAAACGACGACTTTTCCGATTTTTTCGTATCGCTAGTGAACTTTCCGACGACCACCTTTCCGACGAATCTTTTTCCGACTTTTTTCTCGATAAAATCTTCGTTTTAAATATTCCTACATAAAGTAGGTAGTTGGTTGATGATTAAAACACAAAGAAATAGGAAAAAAAAATGTTAATAGATGTTTTATAAACCGAAAAACTATAAGGGAAAAAAGTCGGAAAGGGATCCGTCGGAAAAGTGGCCGTCGGAAAGTTCTCTAGCGATATGAAAAAATCGGAAAAGTCGCCGTTTGAATTTTCGCTGGCGTTTTTTTCATACCACCGTTTTTTGAGCTCCTTTTTTGGCAAGATGTAAGGCTTCGGCTTTGATTTTTTTCATTTTAAAATGGGAATTTTTTTGGCCTGAATTTTTTTAAAAAGATGAATTATTCGAGCTTTTTTTGAAGAGTTGAGGCTAGAAATCTGTAAATTTCGGCATTTTTTTGGAAGAAAACAGTTCATTTTCCGAAAATATTGACTTTATTTGCTTTTTTGTGAGTTTTTTCTGTAGAGATAAGGTTCAAAATTTTTTTTTTTCTTTTTTAAATTTCAAATATTTTCTTGTATTAAATCTTTTTTTTTGTTTCCTGAAGGTCATTTTTTTGATTCACTCTTTCTTTAATATACTTTTTTTAAATAATTGCTGCGATTTTCTGTTTTCTATCCATCTAAAACCTGTTTCGTTGATCTTTTGGACAATCTTCCTCAATTTTTTTTTCAATTTTTAAAAAAAAACTCTCGAAAATTCCAAACTTTTCTCTCATTTTCCAGACGTTCCAACCTTTTTGTTTATTAATTAGCCCGAAAAACCAAACCAGTCCCACACATGTTGAGGAGGAAGAAGACCTCGGCACATAAACTATGAAAGCTTGAGATTTTTCACACATCCATTATAATTTTCTCTTTTTGTCCCGTTCAGAACTTATTTTTTGTCTTCTTCAAGGCGATTTTGCATTTTTCTTGTCTTTTTCCGTGGAAAATGGTTTACTTGAGATATAGTCCATTTACCGCTTGCCTAGGATGAAAAGTGCTATAGAGACGTCTAAGTCTCTCATTTTCTCGCACTATCTCGCTAATTTTCTCAACACAACGGTGAATGAACTATATTTGAAAGGGACGGAAAAAAAAATCGTCAAAACGTGATTTTTTTCCTTTTTTTAGCTTTTTCATACCGTAATCCATTTTTTTGTTAATTTTTTTCCACATTTTTTCCGGATGATTCCTCATAGTCCGTCTACTGGTAGCTTGAGAAAAAGTGCCAAAGTTCTCTAAACCTCTCATTTTCGCACAATCTCTCGCTAATCCTCTCAAGACATCGGTGAATGATCTAAATTCCTGAGTTCCAAGAAAAAAAATACTTATTTTTTTAACATATTTCCTGCCCAAAATCCTTCTAATAACCATAATTGCCAGCCTCTATCTTTGTGAAACCGGATCGGGTCGGTCCAATGAGTTCCCCAAGAGGAGGCGACCCTCATTTTTACCATCGGCCTGACCATCTGGCGCCTCGTAACAGCTGAGCTCATGGATCCCTTGTTTGCCCTGCCATTCAATCAATCTTATTCAGTTTTTTTCCTGTTTTTTGTCATTTTTGCCATGTTATCGGCACTTCTCGTGACAAGATATTCTTATAGCTGATAGCCATGCTCCTTTAAAGGCGCATTGCTTTTTCAAATATTTTTTTTCGAGAAAATTGTGAAATTTTTTATTTTTTACAAACGATCTAATACAAATTTTACGAAAATGACCCGGGTCAAAAGCTCGTCCTATCCTTATTTAAGTGTAAAAAACATCGGCAGAGGAAGCGTGAAAGAAAAATTTCGATGCATTTGTAATTTCGGACGAGTGAGAATATTTCCCGTTTTTTGCATCCTTTTTTGGGAGAAACAAGCATATTTATCACATTTATTCCATTCACAGCAGCTTGAAAAGTCGTTCTTTGCAATCTCTTTCCTCTCGGCGACGCTCTCGTGTTTGCGTGCTATTTTCACATCGTCGGTTAGAGAAAAGAGAGCGCAGACAGGTCAGATTTTTCTCCAAATTTCTCTCTTGACTGACAATCGTCCTGACCGAGGGTCTATACCCACGGCGCGGAGGCGCGATCGCTTACGACCATATCACGTTGAAAACACGCCATCCGTCCGATCTGGCAAGTTAAGCAACGTTGAGAGCCGGTAGTACTAGGATCGGAGACGGCTTGGGAATTCATCTTGCCGTAAGCTTTTTTTGCTTTTTTCGAAGTAAATTTCATCCCAGAAAATCATTTTTTTGCCGTCTTGAAACCTTTCAAACTGGATTCATCCTGCAAATGGTTGCAGATGCATTAGTCATCCTTTTCATCCATCCATTTTTCCCCATTTTTTTTTGCCTGTTGGACAACGATGCACTCGACGCGGCGCCTAATGAGAATCCTCGCGGCTTCTGCCCTTTTGTGGGGCTTCTTTCAAACGACTATTCCGCTTGTTTATGGCCTCGGCTAGAGAGAGAAAGAGGATGAGGCCTCATGAAAAAAAATAAGTGTACGTTTCTCGTTGTTTCGTTGGTTTTACGAGCCCTTTTTGTAAGGTTTTTTGAAGTAGAAAATGGTTTTCAAGTTGTTTAAAATGACTAGAAAGTGTTCTTAAATTAGTAGCGAAGAAATTTTTGTGTTTTTGTGAGTTCTAAATCATAAGTAATTTTCAAAAAAAATCAGGAAAAAGACGGAGTCGATAATTATGACGCACCGTATGATCTTTGATTAAAATTTTTTTTGAATTTTTGTCATTTTTTTATAGAATTAAAAAAATGAGATTTCTATTGTTGAAAATAGCTCATTAAAAAAATTTTTATCGATAAATTTCATCTGTTAAACGCGAAATGGAGATGAGTCAATAATTATGACGCACCTAGTAATTCTTTTGTTTTGGCTTTTTAGAGCTATTTTTGGAGATTTTTGAACTCTTATCAAGTTTTTCTAATTTTCAGCAATTTTAGTAGCTGATATAGACCAAACTTATTGATGTATTGGTCAAAAATAGCCAAAAAAATGTCCCAAAGGTGTCTTCCTGCGGAAATCAGTAAGGTGTGCACTTTCCGGATCCTCATCTGTTACCTCAAAGAGGCCAATTAATAATAAAAACCCAATAGCAAAATAAAACGACCTCCCTCGGCAAGGAACTTGTAATAACAGATCCATTCGCCTAACCATATGCCGAGAAATCATTTGAAGAAGCAATAATACATTCGGCAGTCTGTATGTTCAAGCGGCAGATGGAGGATTTTATGGATTTCTCATCAATTTGGCCTCTCGGATTGGAATTGGTTTGGACTAACAAATGCAAAAAGGCTTTGCATAACGTACGATATTTCCCATATTTGTTTTCCAGCTGCCTTTTGTTAAATCTGATGAATGGTTTGGGACATTTTGCTTGCCAAAAAACGCGTCATAATTATTGACTCAATTCGATTTCTGAGAGGAAACTTACTGCAACTTCTTTTATGAGCGGTTTTCAAAGATGTTAAAATTATTCTTCTAAATCATAATTTAATGCTCTGTTGAAAATTTCATTCAAGAACTCGGACTTCAGTAATGAAAACCGGATGAGCTCCAGACGTTTCTGAGCGATTCCAGGGATCACTTAAGAGCACTGAAGCTATTAAAGGGGTCCCTAGGAAGTCTCCGACACCTACGAATCGCGTTAAAAAGCTCCGAGTAAACATTGAATTATCAATAGAGCAACTTTGCTGCAAAAAAACAGAAATTCTCATTTTTTTTTCAATTTGTCCTCGGACATTGGTAACGCAAAACGGACGTGCTCCGGACGTTTCTGGGCGATTCTAGGGATCACTTAAGAGTACTGTCGCTACTAAAGTGGTCACTAGAAACGCTCCTTTCGGCCTTGAAAAGGTCCTGGAGAAATTGAATATCAAACGAATTTTATCAATAGAGCAACTTTGCTCCATAAAAAAAAGAATTTTTATTTTTTTCTTATTTTCAATTTGTCTCTAAAGTTCCGTATTTTCATCCTAATTTGATTATACAGTTGAAATAAAAAGGGAAAGCTCTACCTTATTACTTTTTTGCAAATCTCCTACCTCATTCTTCACCTTTTTCACACCTGGAAGGATGTAATCCTTTCATTAAGCCATTACTATTTATGGCCTCGAACGGCGTTCCCCACCTTTTTTCCCCGTTTTCTCCTCCTCGTTTTCCGAGCTGTCGTTATGGAAACCAAGCAAATGCACTGATTGCCCGGGAATCTCCCGTCTGCTCTGCCCTTCCGGAACCATTTCTTTTTTTCTCGCTCCTTTTTGGGTTAATCCACGGCACCTGCGCCGCCGTCGATATTCTGCACGGCACCTTTTTTTTTGCACGCCGATAAGATTTTTCCGACTTTTATATACCTTTTCGCGCCCCGTGGGAAGCTTCGTAGTTTATACTCGAGTAGGCCTCGGAGTGTGAGTCGAGTCGTTTAGTTTTCGAATCTTTCTTTGAATTTTTTCGTTCATAGATCCCTTTATAGATCATTTCGAGCTTTTCTGTACGATCTTACCGTGAGAAAAAAATGAAAGGAATTTAAAATTAAAAAAATTTTTTTCATTTTTTTGAGAAGGCCAGGAATACCAAAAAAACAACGAACTCAAAAAGTCAGATTTCTCTGCTCTCCGTAGACCCTTTCATGTTCCCACGCTATTTTTCATGTTTCTATGTCGTGGCTGGTGAGGGAAAAAGAGAGCGCAGACAGGTCAGATTGTCTAAAAATGCGTTGAATGTAGTTTATATTTATTTGACTTACATGAAGCTTAGGAAAAGCTTTAGGTTTTTTTTTTTTAGCAAAAGGTTTTTTGCACAAGTTTTTCTCTTTACTTTTCTCGAAAACTCTTTCTGAGGTTGCAAAAGCCTTGCTTGACCTGAAAAAGAGCAATAAATGGCTCTTCGTCTCGAGACCTTTATGGGATTTTTCTTCTAAAAAGCAAGGATTTTTGAAATTAGACAGCTGGAAGTTAATTTTTCTTATAGAAAAGGTCAAAGGAAGGACTAATATTTCCAAAAAAATAGGATATATCTTCGGATAAGTGCGTTGTTAATACGATTTGTCGCGTTTGATTTCCTGAGACTGAGTTGAGAAAAGGTGTCTCAGAACGGGAACTTGTGGGAAATTATGTCCAAAGCTTCCGTTTTCGAAAAAGTATTCACTCAATCTACAACTTGTAGGTCAGTAACTTGAATTTTCATTTTCACTTTTTCACAGTTTGCTCATTTTTTTCAAGCTTTTTGGCCCACTTTTCGCCCCTTCCCTCCCGAAAACAAAAGGAACGTCCCTCGGCAAGTTGTCCACTCCAAACAGCCGCTAGTAATGGAGCAGTAATTAGCATGGAGGCGAACGGACTGTCCTTGTCATTCGGGGTTTGGAATGGGGCGAGAAGAAACCAATTGGAAATTGGCTTCGCGGAGAAAGAAGAAAAAAAAAAGACGGCCGGAGAAAATAATTCAGAACGAATGTCGCCGAATGGCCATTAAGTCGTCCCTTTCTCGACGAAGACCACATCGGCTCCAATCCTCGACTCATCCACCCACTTCTTCCACAAGCTTTTTCCAAGTTTTCACTGGACTGCAGATAGCTTGGAGATGTCCTCAGAGACTTCTGAAAAAAACTGAACCTGTCCTGGATTTACTGAGTGATCACTTCAGCGGCTTAAGGACACTTCAGTGACCGCTGAATGGCTCAGAAACGGCCGGGAAATGTCCGGTTTGCGTTACAAGCTCCTGAGTTGGAAAAAATGTTGTTTTTCGTGAGACAATGCTGAAATTTCCAAGAATCATTTTTTTCAATTTTTTTCCCTGACTCATCTCTTACTTCTTCCACAAGCTTTTCCCTAATTTCCACTGGATCTCCTTTGAGGAATTCTTGAAAAACGGAGCTAAAAATAGCTGGGAGATGTCTGCAGACACTGGTTACGGGCACCTGGCTTAACCTAGCCGTTGGTAACCCATCAAGTGACCTTTAACGGCGTGAGAGCACTCAAATGATCACTTGAAAGGCTCGGGAACGGCAAGTGCACGTCCGGTTTGAGTTACCAGTTTCTGAGTTCTGAAACGGTATATTTATTAAGAGTATAGTTTTTTGCCACGACTTCAAATTTCGCCGAACGACATACCGCTGTTCCGCTGCGTGCGTTCGCGAAGCGTCTTTCGAATCTAGGTCACGCTTTCAATTGATTTTTATTGCTGTGGGAGCTCATAAAGGTAGAGTACCTTAATAAAAAAAATAGTTAAAAGCGCGACCAAGGTTCGCAAAGGCGCACAGCGGCACAGCGGAATGTCGTTCGGTGAAATTCCAAGTCGTGGTACACAGGCTATATCTCAAGTCTTCAAGTCGAATCACATTTTCCTATTTTCTTTTCTTGACCATAGCAAGTTTTCACTTGGTATTCTTTGAGGTCTTTCCGAAAAGCTGAACTGCAGATAGATTGAAAATGTCCTCAGACTCTGGTGAAAGCCGGACGTGTCGTGGGCATCACTGAGTGATCACTTTAGCGG